GTGTGTGTGTGTGTGTGTGTGTGTGTGTGTGTGTGTGTGTGTGTGTGTGTGTGTGTGTGTGTGTGTGTGTGTGTGTATTTTTACCCGGCTCTCGAGACGGTCACTGTTGAGTCTCAGCTCATTCCTCTCTTTCTCTACCTTCTCTAGCTTCTGCTTGAGTTGCTGGATCTCTTCCTGAAAGGGAACATGCAAAAGATCAAAAGATGGTTTTAGTTATTTATGTATTTAAAAGAGACAATGCAGTTTAATACAGTTCAATATGGAGCACGAAACTGATGTGCTGCACATAGAGCCCATAGTTGCTCATTTTCAGTCGAGCTTTTACATTCACAATACACAAACAAATTACAAAACGCATTACTTAAAACCATATTGCACTATTATTAAAGAACTATAAAGACTTCAGTGTGAAACACAGCTTTTAAAAAACAACCCCAAAAAGCAGAAAACCTGAGGGAAAAATAAAAATTATTTTGAAAAGTATGGATACTTGTAATTAAAATGACTACAGCACTGATTTACCCTTAAGTAACCTTTGACCTGTAAAAGATTTATGATCTGTAATTGATTTGATTTGAGTGGTAACTATTTTCCATAGATGAGTAGCCTTCATAGAAAATGCTGACTGTCCGAATTCAAACCGCGAAATGGCATTTTACAGTAGCCTGTCACATACATGTTAGTGCATTGTGTAAATATACTTAATTTAATAATAATGCTTTTCTCAGTTTTACTGAATTGAACCATGTGTTTTAATCCAACATAACAACAATAAGAAGAAGAATATCCCCTTTGGGGCTGCGGCAAGAAGGGTATCCAGTTTAAAACTCCAAAATCAAACACGCAGGGCTCTCTGTAATATCACGGAAGAAATTACAGCTGTGACACTTGATACAAACCCTTCATTACACAGGTTGGTCTTAATTTCAGGATTTGTCATGTAGAATTAAGGAGAAGGCATTTCTAAAACTGTTGAATGTAAAATACAAAATAAAGTAATTATTCAAAGTTTATATAACCACCAATATTACATCCCACCACAAAAATGGCGACTGATTTTTGTGCATTAAATCACCACATGGCTTTATTTCAGATACATACCAGGAATGTAAAACCAGTGTATGTGCTTAAACTTACATCCTTGCCACGGATCTGTTCCTCAGTGAGCTGCACCTCTATCAGAGGTCTGACAGTGGTGAACAGCTTCCACCATGGCCAGCCTTTGACACCACGATTCTTCTTTATGTTCTTCTGGATGCAGCGGATTGCCAGATCCTGAATCTGTCACACAAATACAACAACATTAAGAAAAAGACCACAAAGCTGGACAATGATATTAACAGATACAAAATGCAGGATAACCAAAAAAGTACTATGTGGGGAGACTTTGAGGTTTCTTCTTGATTGTACCAGAAAGAGATTTGAAGATTTAAAGCTTCAAAGCCTCAAAGACATATCCTACCAGTAACATCTACTGGTCAGCTGTAATTATAGTGGCCACAAACTTTCAACTCCAGTTCCAAGCCAAAGGCAAGAATTCATTCTAAGGATTATCACCCACACATGAAAGTGTCACAACATTTTGAAATGTCAGTTTACTATAAAATGTTTAACAGTAAAACCACCAAGGGGGTCGTGTTGACCCCATTTTGTCATGAAAGATGCTGTAATAACATGAGTGAGCTAAATGTGATGAGCAAATATATAAGGGACTGTAGTTAAATAAGAGATGAACAATTAGGCTACTGCAGGCCTGAACGGGTTGTGCAAAAAAGTGATCTCTCAAATGATATGAAGTCATTTTGAGGCAAAAGAACATTCCTGTCACCAGGTAGAAGCTGCAATCAGCTGTTGGCAAAGTGACTTTTATATATCCTTCACTTATCCAGGTATAAACACTCACTGAGGCATCTGGGCAAGAGGGCAGCAGAAAGTACAACAAATATAATAAGATAACAGTTCCATAAAGATATGTGAAGTGGCCAAAAAGGACTGCATTGATTATAATGTAGAACACATAGTGGGTACTATAAAGGCAGAATCATAAAGATACTTGTAAAACGGGTCCTTTTTCAAAATGTATATATAGGTTAACCTCTTAATGTTATGTCACTTCTACAGGCATGACACGTATAAGCAAAGATATTGACATTAAAAACACTCAAAAACATCGGAAATCACTTTTTTGGAGACAACTTTTTGGCACAATAGCAGATTAGAGTGGGCACTGTGTGACAGAGTGCATGCAGAACTGGATGTGTTGCTGGCTTTGCAGAGAAGCAGCAGAACAGAGTTAAACTGAGCAAAGAGTCTGTGGATATAAACAGTGAAATTGGACAGGTTTCAGGGAAGAAGAGCGGCAGAGGTGTTTCACTGATGAGACGCTGCAGGTGATCAGAGGAAGATGTGGAAGATAGATATGAACTTTTCTAATGTTACAATAATTCTTTTATATGTAATATGTATATAATATGTAATAATTCATTTTGACCTTTTCATAAAGTTCTTCCTCTATAACAATTAAATATTTACATGTGCCAGCTGCTGTGTAATTTGTTGTTCCCTATGTTTATTAGTTTATTATAATGCATATCTTAAATTTATGATCAGTAATGAAATTATCTAAATAATCTATAAATCTAACAAAAACCCTAGAAAGTTGTTAGGTTTATATTGTTGGATTGTCATTTATGCTTAGAAATATATACTCATATATGCTTAGAGGTATATAGTCGATTGCATAGTGATAGGATGTCTGATCCTTAGCAGTCTGCAAAGACTGTGTGTGCCTTCCAGAGGGTTCTGGCATACACACACATCCTAGGGCAGCGGTCTCCAACCTTTTTTGCGCCACGGACCAGTTTATGCCCGACATTATTTTCATGGACCGGCCTTTAAGGTGTCGCGAATAAATACAACAAAATGAAACTAGTACTGGTACCAAAAAAAAGAAGATTTATTCATAACACACGTGAAAAGACCCAGGAAAACCGAGTTAACAATAAAAACGATAACAAAATAACGCTGAAAACCGATAAAAACCCTGAAAACCAGACATTTCACACCTGAGCCTCAACTCTCACGGCCCGGTACCAAACGACTCACAGACCGGTGCTGGTCCGAGGCCCGGGGCTTGGGGACCGCTGTCCTAGGGTCATGAGAGAGGTCGTACCTTCTCTTATGGTATAGGAGGACACCTACTCTGTATCTGTTTTAGTATAAAAGCCCTTTGTTTAGGTGGACCGCTGGGCTCCTGGCACCAGCTTTGGGGAGTCGTTCACAGGGTCACATCTTGGGACACACACACACACACACATGCATACCTACACATACACACAGACAGTACTCTTTGTTCACATGTATGCCTATGTAAGACGTCATATGTTAATGAGACTATGCATATTCATGTAACCACAATAAAGAACAGTGGTGCAAGGGAGCTAACTGAGAGCGACTGAGGTTCGAGCGGAAGGAACGGCGCTCGTCACAGTTCTCTCCCTCGTGCACGAGCAACACAAAGAGCTCTGGTGACTTGCGTCTTGCTTTTGCCATTGTAGTAGCATTGTCTTGGTGTTCCAGCAATAGGCCTGTGCTACACAAACCTATCAAAAGTCATTTTAAATACTTATTTTACCAACCTTTGCTTAAAACTAGAAAAGAAATAACATGAAAATGAACAACTTAACTTCAAAAACAGGTCACGATCAAAATGGCCCATTCTGGCAGGTCTTGTGTTAAAGTGTTACTGCTTATAATACTTGAAACATAACTTATGATTATGGGAGGTATGATTGAAGATTTGTGAGAAGTTCTGTGTCATGGTTCTGGTACCGGTGTTACATCTTTCACCATCTTACAATGCTGTGACTGCAGCCATTCCCCAGCTCTCTGAATTGTACTCATGGCCATTGATCAGTGGTTTTTGATCAGTGGTTGCTCATCAGTGGTCATCTGGTGCAGATGGCAACAGATTTTAGATTTACTAGAGATAATTGTGGTATTATTGCAAACAGATTGCATATAAGTGCTAACTTGAACCTGTTCAATGGAAAACTGATCGCAGACAGACTGTCTTGGTGCTATTTTATTCTCATCTTGATGGACCTTTTGAAATCCTTTGAAGACAGTAGTTAGTAGCCTCAGACCTGGTCCCTATCTTTGAAATGACAACTTCAAAGATCACCAATATTTCTCCATAATTTTGGTCAGGACATGGACCCCAACCACAGTTTTCCATAGTGAGCCTAAGAGAGTTATGGCTATGTTGGAGAGTAAAGACAGTCAAAATAACAAATACTGACTTTCAAGCTTCAAGTCTTATTTAGCTTCCTATTTTCCTAGCAAAGAGAAAAGAGGACTGGCTCAAGATATTTTTCACCAAACTGTATGATTTTACTTCATTAAAAGTTTAGATCCAACGTTCTTATACATTTTGTTTCAAATGCTTTCAACAGATGACAGTGACAGTAACACTTAGTCTGAATACAAGCAGTAGCATCTTTCTCAATACACCTGTTTCCTGTCAGGGTGGGGAAAGTGGGGATTCTTTCTTTAGGCAACTGTTTAATTAGGCTCAGCGTTGGCTGGCTGGCAGTGGAATCCCCCGTGCTCCTCTACTCTCAACTGTTCCTATGAATGTCAAAAAGAGAGAGAGTGGAGACAGACTGCAGGGCTTCAAAGCAGTCAGCAGATCTCTTCTATTTGTCTGTTCCCCCATGGCGAAGTGGAGTCTTCATCTTTCTTTCCTTTTTTCCCTTTTCCCCATCATCCTTCTCCATCTCACTTATTTCCTGGAGTGCTTTGAATGCAGCTCCCTCAGGGAGAGAGGGGGTAGGATATGAGGAATGTGGAAGACAACAAGGAGGTTCCCTAGAGCAGGGAAGTGGGTTAGATGGGTAAACAAACTAACCGGTTGTGTCTTGTGACAAAAAAAAGCAAACCTGATTGTTATACAAATTACAGCACAAATTCACGTTCTAAACTAAGTCCATCTGTAAGAATGAAAAAGGACGGACTTGGATAAATCTTTGATTTTTAGTTTCATTAGCTTTTTGGCTAATGTTGAACACTCAGTATACGGAGTCTGTAAAGTTACAGAGCAGCATTACATAAAAGCCGCCAGCACCCAGCTGACTCAGTAACTGCAGAGTTCAATCAACTCCTACATCTTTAAAGCTCCCACCGGCATTCATTGCTTAACAATATCCATTCAATGTATGTTTTATGGGTAAGCAGATTGGATTTAATGTGTCTTTAAAGTTTATTCGCAGGGCTGTGATGCTGGATTTGACTGATGTCTATCGCTTTCACTTTTCATTCTTGTAATTTTTAGAACTCTAGTGCAAATCCAGCATTTCTTACTGCTCCTTTACAATACAAGCACTGAAGTGATGAAATGCTGGGTAACTTATTGAGAAGATAATTTAGACATGTCATTGTGATGATATGAACTTGTCAAGGCATCCTAAGTTGCATTAGAAGACAAACTACAGTGTGAGCCATTTCCTCTTATCTGCTTTGAGATTTCAACAGAGTCTGAGACTCTCCAGGATGCCTATGAACAGCGCACTAGAAACAAACTATTTACGACGGCGTAAAAGAAATGTGCCCAGTTCTACATCAATTACATGAGATTACTGTTTGCCACAAGAGATGAGGCTCAAACTGAGTTCTTTGGGGGATAACATGAAAGCCAAACGCCCTTGAAAAGTCATTTTTGTTGGCAGCCCTGAGACCAGTGCTGCAAGACAGGATAAAATGAAATGGTAATGAAAGCTTAATCTCCACACACACATATACACTTACCACAAATACAAACACTGTGTACCAAATTAACTTTGTGTACACATGAGAAAAGTTTCACAAGCAGCATGATCACTTCTGTAAAGCTGCACATGAAGTCAACAGATCCCCACGTGTATTTTTGCGAGACAGCACCAATGTTTCCCACTTGTCAGGTTATTATTTTACACACATGCACGCGCAAACGCGCGCACGCATGCAGAGAAGAAAATGACTAAAGCACAATCATCCAAACAGGTAACTTGTAACAGATCCTTAAAGCTTCTTTGTAGCAACCTAAACACATCTAAACTCGAACTCACTTTTATTTCAGGGGAACTGTCAAATAATAATGAAATCCCATGATGGTCTTTTAATTGAAACAGGGGCAACTGTAGCTCAGGCAGTAGAGCAGGCAGTCTACTGATTATAAGGTAGGTGCAACAATCTCCGGCTCATCCAGTCCAAGTGCTGAAGTATCCTCGGATCCTTGATCAGGATACTTATTCCCAGATGCACTCCCCCGATGCACCCATCAGATTGTGTTTGTGAATGTTAGGTACAGCATTTAGGCGTAGATAAAAGTGCTGTCTGAATGTGATCGAGTAAATACGATTTTTAGTAGAAAACACTTTGAGTGCTCAAGTGAAGTAGCAAGGCGCTACAAATACTAGTATAATTTACCATTTAGAAAACTCTAGTTTTCTAAATAGACTTTTTTGTTTTTTAATATTTGTATTTTAATATTATCACACCTGCTTCTGGACAATGAATTTTTAAAGGTACTAGTATTGTACCATTTAAAATAAATATATATGTATAAAAAATGCAAAATCATACTTTTGTTGTATAAACATTGCCTTGGTTTGTCTTTTAGTCGGTTGGGTTAACGCTTTTATGCATGTTTTTAACCCCAAAATTGGGTTTTATCTGTCAGACATGTTCTGTCCCTTACCTGAAGAGTCACTGCTACTCTTTGCCTTCAACACCAGCTTCTGACACAACTAAGTCTGAGACTCTGTCCAATGCCTATAAACAGCACATCAGCAACTAGCTATTTACAATGACATGAAAGAAATTAACCCAGTTCCAGTCTACATCAATTATACGAGATAACTGTTTGCCATAAAAGCTGGGGCTCAAACCGAGGCCTTGAGGCAATAATAGCCATGGCTGCACTTGTGGCTCCTTACTGGTTGGCCCTGATGTCTCCTCGGGGACTGATGACATCCAGTGTTTGTTTTTAAAGAGGATTACCAGGAGGGCATTTCCAAAAGGATGTTAACACATGGCTGCTCAAGATTATGATTGATTATGTGTTTTTTTATTGCCTGTAATGTCCTAATAGTTCTACTCATTCTGGATTCAAAGTCAATGTCAGGAATCAAGCTTTTTGTGGTTATAGTGAAGCAAAATAATAAGGTCATACCAATGAGGCATAAAAGGTACAGACAGATTAAAGGGGTATTCTGCATCTCCAGTTTCTTCAGTTCCTTTCCTTAAAGTTTTCCTCCTAATCTGTCATCTATCTATCTGACAGAAGTCACCTATAAGGAATATAATGCCAAATCCCAACAACAGTCACCTCAAAGGTATGTAAATGCAAATGCAGAACAAAACGAAACACAATCAAAAATGAAAAATTAAAATGGAGGGGGAAAGGTGATAAAAGGTATGAGAATGACGTCACACAGTCAGTAATCGATACTGGAATGGTTAAAGAAGACACTATGATGAAGTCACAGTGGGAAAGAGTAGCTGACTGAGAGCTGTTTCTTTGGCAGTTGCTCACTGGAGATGCATGATCACAAAAATCACCCGAGCAGCAGGGGGAAAGCCAGTATATTTACAAATGGCAAATATACGACATATCTTTTTTGCAAGTCATCAGTGCTGTGTTGATCAGATTTCAACACGTAATTCCTAACTTTTTAAATGCCAAATGATAAAGTAGTCCTACCTTTCTCTTCTTGAACGCCTGTCTGGCTAAGTATCCCCTGCAAGCAGCCTGGAAGAGAGAAATGTTCCTCCTCGTCTGGAAATCTCGCTGCTCCTCCAGTCTGGACAGAATCCCTGCTCTGAAGAACACCTGCAGAAGGACAAGTAGAGTTAGAAGAGTGTCACATATACCGGCTCTCTCCTTTATTTTCTCACATTATTAACTCTCTGAAGTTAATAGTTCAAGTTCAAGTAAAATGCTGTGAAAAACTATTTGCTCTAATTTTTTTATTTTTTTTTCCCCATGATCTGTCATTTATTCTTAAAAATCAAGTACATCACATAAAAGTTACAGAGTTCAGTATTCATCACGAAAGGGGTACTCCGGATGATCAATCCACATCAGCAACTCAACAAACTAAATATTTTTATTCAGTGCTTCAATGGCTTTTATTTCTTCCTCAGTCAGTGAAAAATCAAATATCTGGAAGTTATGTTTGATCCGCTCAGCTTTGAAGCTCTTTGGGATCACTACAACTCCTCTCTGTATGTTGAAGCGCAGGGCCACCTGGGCACTACTTTGGTTGTACTTTTCCCCCAATGGATACAAGCACCTCATCGCCCAGCAGAGGAGGACATTTCAAATTCACCCAAGATGCATCTCTAGAGGAGCCAGTTTGGCAATAGCTAACAATCATGATGTCATTCTGACGACAGTACTCCAGAAGTTTTGGTTGTCTGAAATATGGGTGGCATTCGACCTGGTTGGATACGGGTTTGTGTTTGAGACCAGGTTGCTCTAATTTTAATATTAGAAAAAGATAACCAGAGTAATTAGAAATAAATGTAGTTTATTTGTGTAAACTTTTGTAAATGTAGCACTTTTTAAAATGATGACTTCATGTGTTCAGGGAAAAAAGCTGTTCAAAGCAACAATTTGCATATTAATGATAAAGAAACTGACCTCACAGCCCATCGTTTGTCAGTTGGGCTAGTTTTAGTCATTAATCAAATGTACTCTTTATAATGAAGGGGAAACCTGCAGCCAGCTGAGACTGAAGAAGTCACTTGGTGGATTGACTAAATGTTTCTACTAGAGACGGCACAATACCACTTTTTTTATGTCCGATACCGATATCATAAATTTGGATATCTGCCGATACTGATATGAATCCGATATAGTGTTTTTTAATCAATAAAACTGTTTTTTTAATATATTGCTGCATTTTGTATAAGTTCATACTCAAATTTAAATAAACAACACTAAAGCTATTCTGTTATACCTGTATGTAAAAATTACACTGCACCCAAAATATGTCATAGTTCAGCAAAACTGATCAATCTAATAAACTTAAACCTGCACCATCCTCCCTATTCTGGTATTTTAAAGAGCACTTAGCAGAAATATTAAGCAACCTAACTAATAGGGTTGCAAACTCCCAGCAAAAAAAATAGGGAACCACCCCCCCTCCACCTCATGATGCTTAATCGACTTAATCAACTTTCATTTGATGCAGTGTGGAAAAATGCACAGAAATAAATTATTTTTCAAGAATAATTAAATAGATTCAACATCTTTCTTCTACAGAACTGCAGACTGCACAGATGGTTCCTTCCCAAAGGAAAATGTACTATAGCTTACTAGGGTATATTAGACTTAACAGTTACTATATACAGTAATGGACTTATTTACATTTTACATCAGATTAAAACTTTGGGTGTAAGATTCAGATAATTATTTATTAAAAGCTAGACATTTTAAATGAGAATAAGAAAGAAAAGTATGTCTTTGTGCCCCCTTTTCCCTGTTCATGCCCTATCGGCCCCCTCTGGCTAAACTTTGCTAGATCCGCCCCTGCAGTTACCAGCCGTCAGCTGTAGAAAAAGATCCTGGTGTAGAAAGTAATATTAAATAAATTCTAACAACAGCTTATCAAGGTTAAACGTGCTGCTGTTGTTCAGCCGCTGGTTTCCTCTTTCTGGTGCGAAGTGGGCCAAAAACAAAGAAGAGAGACGGACTCGCGACAGAAAAGCCGATCAGCTGATCATTGATCAGTTTCATGATTGAAGTAGCAGCAGGAGAGGGAGAGAGATGAGGCAGTCGCTCCATATATCGGTTGTTAAGCTTAACGTGGGAATGCTTTACAAACATTCAGAGATGAACTTACACACTTGCTTTACTTCTCTCTGGGATAAGTTCCTCGGAGATGAAATGCTGGTTTGGTAGCGAGGCTACAAATACACACAGCCGCTCTATCATGTGACACACACTGCTCCGACGTGCGACGGTTATGAGCCGAGTTATGCTGTGTGGCAAGTTTTGTGAGGTGCTTTTTTGATATTTAATGGATCAGATTACATTTTTTATTTCTCGCCGATATCCGATCCAGTAATTTACATCAGTATCGGACCGATACTGATACGTAATATCGGATTGGTCCATCTCTAGTTTCGTCCACTGAAAACGCTAACTCCAGATGAACAGAATAGACTTTTGCTTTGTGCACTGGTGCACAGTCATGTTGGAACAGAAGGAGACCATTACCAAACTGTTCCCACAAAGTTGGGAGCATGAAATTATCCAAAATGCCTCGGTGTGCTGAAGCATTAAGAGTTCCTTTCACTGGAACTAAAACAGCAGTTTAAAGAAATTATTAAAAACCCTAAATTACAAATAACAGTTATGCCCATGATGAGTATATGTAATTCTGCAATAATCACTGTGTGGGTACCTGCATTATAGTTCAGTGAGGTGATCTACTATGATTTTGGGTCCAAGTCAAAATTTGCAGCCCAGCTGGGCAACTGCTATAGTTTTGTTTGGGGTTTTTTGTTTTTTTTTTATATATAGTGGTTTAATGAGCAGTAGGTTGTTCCTCATCCAGTTGCCTGTGAGCTATGTCTACTGCCAGAGGGAAAAACAACAACAACAACAACAACAACATTTGCTCAGGGCTTATAGCAAACTCCAGAGTATCAAAGAATATTATGGTGAATTACTTTTGTTTATGTTTGTGGAGTTTTATAGATTTCTACAAATACTGATATTTTGTGTAAAATGGCATTGTGCAGGCCTTTTCCCTATACGCCAATCTAACAGTTTTAAATACTGCCTTACTGTTGTTGTGGCTATAGATGCTGGTGGGAAAACGAAGTGGCTAAGGTATAAAAAGCACAGAAATGCTTTTTCCACTCCCCAAAAATGGATTCGGGTACCACAAATCAATTCTGCTCCAGTGGGATTTTCTGTCGTGGGAAGATGATGTCTAACTAGCCTGGAAGGAGACAACACATGCGGCAAACATGAACAGCTATGCTCCTCAGAGACCCTTGTGTCAGTGTGGGAATGGTTTAATACTGCCATGCAGAGAGCTACAAAAAGTTTGGCATTGCACACCAGGGACAGGTTGGCAGCAATACCTGCACAGCCCACAAATCTTGTGTTACTGCTAATTCCTCCAGGCTGATGAGAGTCCAAACACAACTAATGTCAAAAATCTGTGTGATTTGCTTTAATTTTAGATGGCGGGACATGTGACTTGTTAGAAAATACTGAGAAAGACAATGCTAGCATTAAGACCCTCAGTCTCTTAGATGAAATGTAATATTATTATTTATTTAAATTATTAAAATCGGGGGTGGAGGTGGGGGGCTGGGATCATACCATTATGCAAAAGATTTAAGGGGGGCAGATGTTCCGAAGACAACAAGTGTAGTGGTACAAGCCAAGTACACAGAGAGACGGCGAGCTGGATTTAAATGCAAGCGTGTTGGGAAAAAGTGAAGAAAGGAGCTAAAATGTAAAATGAGCAGCATCTGGCTGCATTTCAATGATATTGGAGACTGTCTGAAGTGATATCCACTTTTATATTCAGCCATTTTCCATGGTGGAGGATAAAAGGTTTCAAACATATCCAGGCCTTAAACCTCATCCTAAGTTACAGTTCAGTATTGAATATTACACAAAATAAACTATATACAAAGTGTCTTTGAATATCTGCATGTAGCACAGAGCCATGGCTCAGGGTCTAAATGAGTCCCATAGGCCAGAATGTGCTTGAAGTTATTTATAATTCTTAACTTGTTTGAACTTCTGCTCACCACAAACAAGCACAAGCAGAAACTTTGGCCTTTTAACCGTTTTGTTTGTTTGTTTGTTTTCTTAGGTCTTACAGTTTTTCCTACTGATAAAATGCTCTCATATGGCCATTCATACTACACAAAATAATTAGGCATTAAAATTTTAAATGACAGAAAAGTTTCTGTTTTTCCACTTTCTATAGAAATTTCTGGTTTTTACGATTACAAAAAAACCTGAACAGTCTAGGCAATCAGCTGCAAGAATTTTTGCTGTAATCTTCCACATCTATTACTTACAGTTTAAGTCCAAAGATGCGTGCCTACAGATTTCTTTCCTTGTCACAGCAGCTTTTTCTTCCTCATGTAGAAAAACAGTTAAATAAGTAACTTCTTTATACTGAATGGGAAGTTTCACTGGTCTGGCCCACTTAAGGTCAAAGTGAGCTGTACGTTGCCCGCCATGTAAAATGAGTTTGGCACCCCTGACATAGACCATGTTAGGCAGGTGTTATTATTTAACACAGACAAACGTTAGCTGGAAAATGTACCTTTAATTATCAACAACATCTCTTAGGCAAGTCATTGCTCTCTTTACTGCCATTTTTTAAGTGTGCCTGTCTTTCTTGTATTTCCATCTGACTCTGATTAAAAAAAATAACATACACAAAAATAATAAATATAATATATATATATATATTATATATATAATTCTATAATAACATAAATAATAATATGCAATGATATAACGTAATGTGTTTAACTAAATTAATCCTGTTGTGTTATTATTCTGTGATGTGAAGTGCTGCTTCATCAAGCTACCTTCTTCATAAAGGAGAAGTGGCACTCCATTCTTTGAGGACACACAATTTTTGTTAACATCTTTAAAAAGACTAATGCTTATTGAATTCAGAAATCTGACCTCAACTCCATTTACCATTTATGGAACATTTGCAAAGCCCAACACTTTCAGCAGTAGGGATGGGTATTGAAACCCAGTCTTGTTGAGAACCGGTCCCTGTTTCAATTCCTTGGAATTGTTTGCCATTTTTGCAAACGATTCCCTTATGATTCCAGTCGCCCCGAATGACGTCACCACGTTGCGGAGCGTCATTTACCTGGCAGGAAACATGGCGCTCAAACGCTCAAAAGTTTGGTTATACTTTACGAGAACGGATGACAACAGGGCAACTTGCAATACTTGCAAAGTAGATATTTCATTTAAGGGAGGAAACACTACGAATATGCAAAAGCATTTGCTCACAAAACACGATGACCTTAAATGAATGTCGATGTTTTTAATTCCGCTCCGGACTCGTGAATCTCAACCCAGCAGCAGCGGTAACGTTTGCACGTCCTCTCCCGTTAATGCGGCAGGTAAATAATCAACTAACAGTGCATATTATGTTAGCGCGATCTGCCTTATTACAAACCTGCCATTGCTGTGCATTTAGGTGACCATGATGAGAGAGACAGAGTCTGGCTCAGATGCTGGCAGTTCTCGCTGCAGTCTCCTTTCAGGCCAGGACAGACGAATGTCACCAAGCAGTGACTCAGTTTGTGGTCAAAGGCTTGCACCCAGCAGATGATTTTCAGTAAGTGAATGTGTTTAATTGTAGGCAGGGACATTACTGGATATTCTTGTGTAATTACTACAGAATCATTTATGTTATACTTTGTTATTGCTACAGAAGAATATTTATTTTATTATTTTACATTTACATTTTTTTTCCTGGGGACCCTGTGACCCCCCCATTGAAGAGCCGTAGGCTGTGGATCTCTTAAGATCTTACTGTTGGGTTTGTAAGGCCATGTTACTCCTAAATTTCTATCTTGTTCAAAGAGAAGATATAAAACAAAGTTCTAAGCTAATCGACCTTAGTGTTCTCCTTTTTTAAAAGAATCAATAAGAGAATCGATAAAGAATCGAATCGTTAAACAGAATCGAAAATGGAATCGGAATCGTGAAAATCTTATCAATACCCATCCCTATTCAGCAGTATAAAAAAGTCTTTGTAACATTGCCACATCACCCTGGGATAAAACTGATTATCATGTTTAATGTCTTTATCAAGTCCATCTAGCTCAAGTGTTGCAGTAATTTAACAGAACTGATACTGTCATCTGGAATTAGAAAATGTATTTTCTGCACTCTCTGTATCTTGGTCAGTAATTATCAGTAATTATCTTCACTGACCTTCGGATCTAACTGTACATACTGTGTAATTGTTAATATAGAAATATGGGGAGCGATGGATGAGTAATATAGAGTATTTATCAGATGTTTAGTTAAGTATTATAGGAGTAGGCCGGTTGGAGAGTAAGTGGCCCACAGACTGGGCCACTTACTCTCTAAATGGGAAGCTGGTGCTTTACTTTCCCACATGAGCTGGTTGGACACCTTTGTGTTTCAACTGTCAGTAAAAACATTACAAAACAAGAGGCATTACCAATGTTACTGATATGAAAACCACAGATTAAAAGAAAACTTTGGTACTAAAAAGTTAACTTTGGGAATGTAGTGGTCAAACTCTGAAGCAAGGTCAAACATTCTGCAATATCTGCCAAGAAACTTCAATAATTGACAGCTCAAGGCCCAGACTGTTCTTTATTCTGCAGACATTCACAGATCTAATTAGCAAAAACTGCCTGCCCTTTTCCTTGTGATTAGCTGCACTTTATCCTCAACAGTCTGGCAGTGTTTGACTGCTGCTTGGCAAGATACAGAGAGTGCAGAAAATATCACCTCTTGCCCCCAAAAGAAAAGAAAAAAAGAGAATTAGAACTAGTGAGGATACATGTGGAAGTGTGAAGACTTTGTCACTGCAGAGGAACAAAAAAGAAACAGAGAGCCTGTCGCCCCTTTTGCTCGACAAGCTAGTGAGTAGAATGAAAATGTGTTCTAATTATCTCTTTAACTGCAAGGGCCAAAGCATAAAAAGGTTTTTGAATTTGAATACTTTTTCTTGCTCTTTCACAGCAACACAAAGCAGCAAAAGCCAGACGACAAGCTGATCAACATCAGTGTAGAAAGTGATGATGAAAACCCACAAAAATCTAATTTTCAACAACAAATGTAAAGACAAAGAAGAAAGAACTGGATTTTAGGATTGCAATAAAAAAGAGGGGCGTCTGAGGATCACCACAAAAAGAATTAGTACTGTGAAGGAAATGTTGAGTTTGCAATAACAGGAAAACTGCATTAACTCATAAGCAGAAGTACATGGAGATGAAAAGTGTATGCATTAGGGAAAACTCACCCTGCTTAGCCCCATGTGGTAGTTACTCTTCTCCAGCTCCAAAGACTCCAGTAACTCCTCCACTGCCTAGAAACGAGCAGAACGAACACTCATTAGATAAACAACCCAATCGCTCTGTGTCTGGGCCTTACCTATGTCTGGTCATGTGACCTGGCTCCTAAAAATGATGCAAGTTACGTGCCATAGCAACAAACACCAAACCACTCTGGAATCAGCTAACACAAGCACACACATACCTCGATGTCCCTAAAAGGAAACAGACTACATGTCATGGTCCTGGGCCATGTTGGCCCAGTATTCTTAGTTTTCTTGTATTTTTGTATTTTGTTCCTTAGGCCATGTTTCCTGAGTTGCCCTGTTGTGTTGTTCCCTAAGTGTTTTCCCTTCGTGGCCTTTACCCCTGTGTGCCCCTCTGTGTATCTGTGAGCCCTCGTCTCTCCTTATGTTTTATTCCATGTTTCCCCTGCCCGTTATGTCTGTGTTCTCCCCGTGCTCTCTCCTCCTGTCTGAACCTCTGTACTTCCTGTTTGACTCTGCCCGTCTCCCGTCAGTGTTATGTTCACCCCGCCCTGTCTCGTTATGGTTATCTGTGTCAGCTGTGTTCCCCGTGTGTTCCCACTTTCCTCGTTAACCCTCTGTGTATTTCTGTCTGCGTCTCCCTCTGTTCGGCGTCGCGTTCTCCCTCATGTTGTGTGGATCTTCCTGTGTCTTCCTGCAAGTGTTAGTTTACTTTCCCCAGTTTAGTTTTGTATGGTTTTTATTTTAGGGGAGAAACACAGAACAGCAACCTAAAATCCAGACAAAAGGAATTACAGTTAAGTTACAAACTGATTGGACCACTTCACATGAACTCGCTAAATCTTTTAGGTTTCTTGGCTGCCACTCACAACTTAAAGCCTGCTTCAGCTCCATCCACAGATTCTTTATACAACTGAGGTCTGGAAACTGAATAGGGCACTGCATGACCTTAATGTGCTTCTACGGTTGAGTTGATGCCATAGAGCTCAATTTTGGTTTCACGTTTTTCAACAAGCGTTCTCTGAATCATCTAGATGTTCACTGTTAAACTGTATATGTACCTTCTTGAGCAGGGGACCTTGTTGGCGTTGCAAGATTTCAATCCATTACAGCATGGTGTGTTACCAACAAGGTTCTTGGTCACTGTGTTCCCAGCTGCCTTAGATCACTAACAAGCTCCAAGCTTTGGACTGATCTACCACCTTTCTCATGATCATCCCCACCCCATGAGATACGATAATCATCCCTCCTCTATCTGGAAAGATGTCCATTTTAGATTTCTTCCATTTACAAATAAAATAGTTGTAGTTCTGTATTGCTGCATTAAAATAAAACTGCAATAAAAATTAGATACTGTTCTTGTTTTTCTCCTCTGTTTTTTTTTGGTAAGGCAACAGCAAGGGCTCAACATCGAGTAACTGTTTCCCCCACTGTAAGAGCCTTTGAGGGAATCTATTCTGAGAACTCTTGGAAAAACTACCTTTATTTCATGCACATATCTGTTTTGTGAAATTCCCAAACAATTGCAAGACAAGATTAATGTAATTACAGGACTTTTGCAGTAATTAAGGAAGAATTTGAGCGTTCCTCTTAAAGAAGGGTTTTAGGCCCTCTGTATTTTTGTGATTTCTTCACTGAACACCTCAGTAACTCTTCTTTTCAACCATTCTGTTGTTAATTTACTCATCAGACTTAAACTTCAGATCTCAGATCATCATGATTATGTTTTGGAGTTGATGAATTAAAATTTGTTCAAAAACCAAAAATGCTCAAATTTAGTCTCAGAACATTTTCCCTGACGTGAAGTGGAACTAGACACAGTGGTCTTTTGGAAACGTAGGCTTTTCAATTGCATACGTTCCCTTTATTGCAACAGTCTTGAATTTGATTTGAAGTGTTGTATAAAAAAGTACAAAAATTTGCAAATTCCTAGTTTATTCAGATTCTGTGTGTAAGCGTGACTTTGAACAATCACATTGCATTCTATAATGCAGGAAAACTTAATTTCAACCTACAAAATTAAGCTGCCATAAAAAACAATATTGTTATTAATATTGTAGCTTCAGTTTTCAGCTTTTTTGGAAGCATCCTTTTTTTTTTTTTGGCTGCCTCTTGTGTTTCACAAGAAGCTGACAGACAGATATATCTATCAGGCAGGTATGAAACTGGGATCTGATTGTAAAAGATGTTTCATACCAGGCATTCTAGACCATGGAACCTCTCAAAGGAGGAAAATAATAGTAACAAACTTTAGAGAGAATTAAGCTTCTCAGGGATGAGGCATTAAATTTCTCCCCTGCTGTTTGCCTGTTTGGTCTGAAAAGCTCTTGGCAGGCGCACCATATGGACACTGACAACATGGCTACATCATGCTGTCTTAAGAGGAGCAGACAGTACTGGGCTATAGCAGGAGAAAAATGGGGGCTTTTGTTTGGCAGAAACAAACCGTCCGACAGACTCGGCAAACCAAACCCTCTCTCTCTTGCTTTCTCCCTCTGTGAAAATTTTTTTTGTATTATCGTCCAATTAAATCTGGCTAAAGTAATCTCTATCTCACACCAACACCTTCCATCCATCTTCCTTTTCAAATAAAGAGACCTGCGTAGCATTAGTACTCTTTGAGTGGGATATCCTCTCTAAGCTCATCTTCAAGAAACTTTGAGCCTCCTCACTGCCAGTGTAGTATAGAGCAGTGTAAAGGAGCACGAGATTTTACACATCTGTGTGTCTGATGTCCTTGTTTAAGTTTTTTTTTTCTTTTTACAAAACAAAACAAAATGTTGATTCTTAGAAAACAGATTCTGCACCTTTTGAGACAAGACATGAGGTACAGAGGATCTTAATGTAGATATGTTTTCTCACAGTATCGTCGTAAGACTAATCACACCTTAGTGCAAAAATGCTATATACTCGCTAAATAAATGTAGGGAAGACATTAATCATATGCCCGGGGATGTTCCTAAACTGTTCTGCCACCTATACAAAAGAAATTGAAAGATAACGAGACAAAAAAGACACAAGGGAATGGATGGGAAGACAGAGAGAAGAGGAAACAAAGAACTGTTCCCACCATCAGTAATTATTCAGTACAGTGGCTGAATGCTGCCATCCCCCACAATTATAATTAATTACACACAAGAGCGGGAGAGCCAGGACAGCGGTAAGAGAAGAGGAAGAATAAATGGATTGTTTTCACAGACTCAAGTGTGGAGGGCAAAGAGGGAAACACCGCATGTCCAGACTTCATCCTTTCTACACTGTACGTGATTTTGTGGTGTGAAAAAAAAGACAAAAGATATCCCCATGAGTAAGTATTTCACTTACAGGCAAAAGACTTACAAGAACATAAATGATCAATCTAAAAGTAACATTTCCTGTTATTTATCCCAGATTTACACCACATCACTTTAACAGTGGATTTCAGGTACTTTTAAATAACCTTACATCTCCCACAATCCTGAGCAAATTTTACAAAACAATTTCCCCTTGTGAATGATTTATTCTGATTAAACCAAGGCAAATGATTACATTGTATCTTAATATACGAACAGCTAAGGATGTTGACAAGAGAGCACTTTTCGTTATATCAGCAGTCACAGTCCAACTACTCACAGCAGAACTGCAAGTATCATGCTAACTCTGCACTCACCCTCTTCTCATCTGTGACAATGTAGTGGCGGCCATACTTCTTGGTTAGATGAGGTGCCAGAACATCAAAGCGCCTTCGAAACTCAGAGAAAACCATGTGGTCAGGATAACCTAGAGGCAGAGAGGCAGAACAGAGAAGAGAGCACACAAACTCAGAACACCAAAGTTAAAGTAGCATCTGCAGCTGGTGGAAAGGCTAGCAGTTTATCAACAGCCAACAGACAGACAAAAGTATGAATGTCTATGGGACAGTCTTACATTGGGGTACTTTAACCCCTAACCCCAGATCAAATTAAACTGAAACGTGGTTCTGTCATCAGCATAACAGTGACTGGAAAGAGTGTTGAAATTACATACATATAACACTGCAAAGTAGTTACCTTGCCTGTGGATGCGCAGAGCATCTAGCAGCTTGGATCCTCGGAGCTGAGCTCTCAGGAGGCTCACGTCCAGAGTCATAAGACCTGAGTCAGGGCTCTCTCCATGAGCCATACGGTAATCACCTCCTCCTACTGCCTCTACTTTGGGCAGTAGGCAATGGACGAAGTGAACCTTAGAACGCCGCACCATGTCAATCAGAGCATCCTAAAAATAAAGAGCTTATATCAGATATCAGTTTCCAGTTCTAAGACTTCATGCAACAACAAGCTATGAAAATAGTAGAGAGTTAAGCGTCACTGCCTTAACAAGTATTACAAAAGCAACAGAAGGGGGGACTGTTGTCCTACTGGGAGAACTTCAATGTTCATGTAGACAGCGAGACCTGGAGGGGAATGATTGTGAGGAACGGCCTCCCGGATCTGAACCAGAGCCGTGTTTTGTTGTTGGACTTCTGTGCAAACCACAGCTTGTCCATAATGAACACCATGTTCAAACATAAGAGTGTCCATAAGTGCACTTGGCATCAGTACACCCTAGGCCGGAGGTCGAGGATAGATTTTATAATTGTTTCACCAGAGATGCAGCCACATGTTTTGGACAATTGGCTAAAAAGAGGGGCTGAGCTGTCAACTAATCACCAGGTGGTGAGTTGGATCAGGTGGTGGGAACTGCATGACCTTAATGTGCATATATAGTGAGGGTGCGCTGGGAACGCCTGGCAGAGGCCCCGGTCCGCAAGATCTTCAATGCACACCTATGGCAGAGGTGCCATAGGTGTGCAGCTCCATTGCCAAAGCAGCTGCACTGAGCTGCAGCCACAAGGTGGTTGGTGCCTGTTGTGTTTTCGTACCTTTTAACCACACTCTCATCCACTTACCACTTGGAGTTTCACTTGGATACACAGACTCTTCTTCTTGACAGCAGCCACACCTGTAGTGAAGGTTTTCCTCATACTAGTGGCTCGCCGCAGGGCAAGCTGGGAGCTGCCCTCCAGACCGGCGATGGAGCCCGACAACACGGTGGCTCCACTGGCCCGGCCCATGAACAGCGCGCTGATGTTCTTCCTGCAGTGGCAGAAAGATGATAGGGTTTGTACAAATCCACATCACTAGCATCCAAGAATTCACAAGACAATATAAAGAAATCAATCTGATAGCATTAGTGCCATATTATACTGTTTTGAGAGCCATATGTTGACAGGCTCCTTGCTGCACTCTTTGGTTCACTCTGTTGCCTCATGGTGTCAAACACTCACCTTATGACTGCTAAAGGTCTGAAACAGATTTTGAAAAGTTGCTAAGTTAGATATTGTCCCTGCAATTTTTTGTCTTTTTAGAGCAAATTGATTAGCTTTAGCTAGACTATACTTAAGTAGAGTGTGTATTCCCTTTTGCAAGACAGTAAGGCAAATGTTCCCAAGACTTTACAGACAAAGAGCCATTGATTTCATAACCTACAGTACAAAATATATTGACTTCATTGTTGAACTGTGGATTGTAGCAGTAAGATCATACTGGAAACATTTGATTAAACTCTACATTCTTCCCCTTGTCAAGCATATTATGTTTTTTTGAGTGACTGAAACCATAAAATTTACCGACAGACTGAAATGAGTGCATATGAACTAAAGACAAGAGAACACAGAGCCCCCAGAGGTGGAAAGGCAGGCCTAACATGACAGAAACTGAGATAAATCCAGGCAATGCAAGAATAAATTGGGCATTTTTTTCACAGGCTCACATGCAGTGTACTGTAATGTACATTTATATGTTCTCTATATCAGACAAATGTAATTCTATTAGTACAGGACATAGTTTTATTTTCTTCTTACGTAACCAGTAAATTCAAATCCACTACTAGCAACTCCATCAGGGCACGTGCAGCTTAAAAACAACAGCGGTGATGACCAATCACTTCATACATTGTTCTATTAAACTGGATGATGTTCATGTATAGACAGAGGCATCATACTTCTGGGAGTCCTGCAGCAGGGTTGCAGCATTCTGGGCAGCAGGGTTGTGCTTGGCATGGTTCAACCAGCCTTGGGTGTTATACTCCACCCAATTGGTCCCATGGCTGTGGCCCAGCAGGAAGAGGTGGGGCTTCTCTCCTCGCAGAAGTAGATTAGCTCCTGCAACAGAATGGAAATATTCTGCCATGGTGTATCAGTGTTGTCTATTTGTTTCTTCAGAAAGCCTCGACTGATTGCGTTAAGGGACAGCTACGTGTTTGAGTGTTCACCTTTGTTTTCTCCCTGTGCAGAGCCATAGTAGCTGAAGAGTCTCTCCAGCATGGTTTCCTCTGAACCTCCTGGCTGAACAGCCTCCTCCTCCATGAGCCACAGAAGGCCTCGAGCTTCATCTGTCCTGGCTAGAGTACGAACCTGTGATGAACAAAGGCAGGCGAAAATGTCTTTTTTATTTGGACAGATCAAGGAAAGACAATATAGAAATCGTTATCTGTCACTTTCATCAGAGGACAGTGACTGGGTACTAAGCAGCCAAATATCTGACAAGAGATGTTTGTGTTTTGCTTTCTTTTTTCAAAAACAAAATAAAGAAAGTAAAAACATTTTTTATTTTTGCTCTCAAGATTAAAGGTTGCCTTGGAGCTGTGGAGTTGACTGTCAGCACCATCATCTGATGTCACTATATAAACATGGAGGCCTTGGGTAGCATGGATTGGACCAATTTGTGTTACTCCTTCAAACCTTAGAGACAGTGAATTTCCACATGGCAAATCTCCACCTACAGTAAGCTGCCGTTGCTCTAGAGAAATTTGTCCTTAAGGTTTGTTCAGCATTTTTCATAAAGACTCAATCAAGTGCATTCTAATGTCCTCCCAAACCTTCAAAGCTGAACACTACAGCAACAATTATTTATTTACCATTGTTGACTGATTTAAACGAAAGTGCAAGGATTGGCCCTTTCATTTAATTTTCTACTTTTAAGAAGATTTCCTCCCATCTTTTAAAAATTGTCAGTCACACAAATCAGACTTGAGTGAGCTTTCCAACTGTGCACTGAAAATCATACAGCTCATATATTTAAGTTAGAAGCAAGCAAATAAAACGAATTCTGTACAAATGCAGAATAAGCCTTCCACAAGCATTCTACTTAGAAATCAATGTTCAATTAATGCTAGTAAATTAGCACCCAAAATCTAACAATATAAAAAGAAAACAGTGCAGCACAAAAGCTTGAGTGATTACTTGGATATAGGCTTTCATAACCTTAACAGCTGATTATAAAACTACTCCTCTTGTCAGTACAAAGTTTAAATCCTGCACTGTTTTGTTAAATTGTTGAATTTGTGGACTTAGCAGAGATGAGACTTTCTACATAAAAATATGAAACCTGTGCAGACAGGCCGCTTATAATGAAAATACAAAGTTAGCTGACTCTTAAAGGCTTTCCAAATCAAAGAAGAGGCTTAGGATTGTGCTGGTGAAAACAAATTATCTGCTAAAGTGTCATTCGAATCACTTACAGAGATTAAAAAGAAGAGTTTGCTGTAATTTGAACAGAAATCACAAGCTAGATGCAAATGCACCACCTGTATTGTTTAATCAAAATTGAGTCACAGTGTGTTTCCATGTCTACTGTTCTTCTGGGTGTCATTAGTAATGCAGCTATTAACTAAAGCTAAAGGTATTGGACAGACTCATATTTGTGTAACACGATGCGGTGCTACCTCAAAAAGATCAACAACATTATTTTAATTCCTCTTCAGATAAATTGAAATAATTTGTTGGTCACTACTTGACATCACACACAAACACAGACACAAAATTATTATGATTCCATTCAAAAGGACAGTGGCAGTGTGGTGTAGTTCCATTGATGGCCTGGTGGAGCACAAGCTGTGTGGTTCAAGCTCACCGAAAGTCTTCTGTAGTTGCTTAAAATCCTTCAAGCTGGTTATGATTAGGAAAAAGGTACCAGATTATGCACATATGCATCTCGCTGCATATGAGGGCTGTTAGCCACACAGTGGTGAGAATGCCTTTGCAGACCCATGACCATTGCCAAAACGCCTACGATGGACATGTGGGAGCCTGAAATGTGCCACAGAGCAATGGAAGATGGAACAAAAAAGGCACCAGAGGCAGAGGACCTTGGTGTTTATGTTGGTGTAATATCTGTACCACGAATCTTAACATTGCTACAGGCTCTTGGCAAAGTACTCTCTTATTATAGTGGCCCCTTTCAACAGGATACTGCACCTTTCCTCACTGCTCTGATTGTTCAGGATTGGAAACAAGATAAAAGTTTGATCTACAGAGGCCTTGTGACGCTAACACCTTCAGTCTACAGATCCCTTGCCTTGAAAGACCAGGGCAGCTTGACAGAGTGATTTTGTTTGTGGTTGAGCACTGTATTATCTGAGGATGTGTGTACATAATGTGTAAGTCCATCATAAAGAGGATCAGTTGCAGAAACTTCTAAAATCTTTAGTGATTGTAGGTCAGAACATCCAATGTCAATCTAGTCCTAAGAGTTCATTTGAATTCAGTTGAACCATTAGAAACTGACCTCAGATTCACACATGCCAGCAAAAAGGAATCCATTCTGTAGTCTTTGCTGCTAAAGCACCGCACTCGCTTTGAAGCTGACACCTGTTTCCTCAATGTTCCAGGTACGGGTTGCCTGGGTAACCATCTAATTTATTTACTACCTAGTCATATGTCAAACAACAGGATCCTGCTCTCGCACTGATAACTGCGTCAACCACTTGACTGGAGAAACGTATCTCGAGTGGTTATTTTGTTATTTTTCCTGTAGTCACAGAATGTCATTTACGTTGTGTGGCCTCTGGTTGCTGTGAACTGCTTCCAATATGGATGCAGCTTAAAGCATTTCAGCTAATATTTGGGGGATTTGATTGTCTCTAGGTGTCTTGAAAACTAGAACGATCAACAGTTTGGCATGAAAAACAACGTTGCTGATGGTATCAAATGTCAGTTATTATGGTTAACAGACATTTGCTACTCTTACATAATTACAGGTTTGTTGTTCTACTCTCATGCAATTCCATTTCAAATAAAAATACACACCATTATATAAATCATCTAATACATTCAACACAATCCAACACAAAAGAAAGCTGGAATCTAGTACTTGCATCAACTCCATCAAGACTGCAGGAACATCTACACAGACCAAATGCTGCAAATACTTGTACTGCTAACAACACAGACTTTTAGTAAAAAGGGAACCAACGAGTGGAGAGAAAAGGAGACTCTGTCAAGCTTCAAAGAGAAAACACATCACAAATTTGATTCTAATCAATAGTGCTGATCTCAGACAAAATCCTAAAGGAAATGGAAGAAACAGCAAGAAAATATGGAACCAACCATCACAACAAGTTGACAAGCATTTAGGCTAAGCATGCTTTGAAAACTCTGCTTTATGTTACATCTAATTTCAGTCTCAAGAAGAGTAGAGGGGGAGTTTTCTGTCCCAGATCTCAGGTCCTCTGGCTTCAGCACATATTGATGCCTGCTTTGCTAGATTGGCCATGGACCTAAAACTATTTGCATTTGCCAGCAGTGATGAAAAGAGCTATTTGCTGGCTCAGTGGTACTCTGGGGTGCTCATTTGGCTACAGCTTCATTTGCATTAATGTCTCCCTGAATAATGACTGAAATTCAGGCCCAGATAAACTGCCCTTGAATCTGGACCTAAATACCTCAATGCTCCACTGAACATAAACACAACTTTAATCTGTGCTGTTAACACAGCATATTTCTCACAACTGTTTCCAGGTGAAAGGAAAGCAGAGTGTAGTGAGGGTTGCTTACCAGAGCTTGGGTTGAGGCTTGATCAATAACTGCTACAGACAGTGAGGTGTTGGACTCTATGTCATCTAAAGCAAGTTCTATGTTTTCCTAGATGCAGGAGGGGACAGAAACTCAGGTTAGTAACCTACAAGACATATACCAGCAGAAGATGAGCTCATAAAAAATAAAAAACAGAAAATCAAGTGTAGCTGTTCATCTCAATCTTGAAATCAGCAGTTACTAAAGCTATAGATTGGGTTGAGTACATAAAAAGTTTTGGAAATTTCTTAAACTGGACATTTGATTGTTGGGGGTTTTCTCTGCATTATTGTAGGGTCTTTGGTCTGTGCAAGCTCACCTGGAGGAAACCCACACAAGCACAGGGCGAGGCTGTAAACTACACATAGAAATGCTTTGACTGACACCACCAATTTCTCAACATTTGAGTTTTTGTGTATTTATTCAAGTTTTGAAGCTCAATTACTCGTAGAAACCCCAGATCTTGATGTGAACCACTTGCATTGGAACTACAGTAGAAGTAGAAATTTTCTAAACCCCAAGTATCCTGTGGATTATCTGGAGTACTGAGGTCAAATTCTTTACTGCTGTGGAGCACCAATGAACTGATCTCCAGTGCATCTAAAATCCTAAAAATTTTAATTAGTTGAGAATTATCAGTACAGGCAGACGCCAGAAAAAATATACATCTGTGTTTGACTACATGTTATTATTAAGTCGTCCTTAAAATCAGTGCATGAAATATGTATATGTTCTGTCCCTCCCAAGTGTTAAGCTCTGTTGTTCCAGCTGCACCTCCTTGTATCTCTCCAATTCCTTGACAAAGGTCCGTTCATGAAACAGAGTCTGTAGCCTCTCCTGGGTGTAGTTGTGACAGAGTTCTTCAAAAGTGGCTCCCCTCTGCTGATGAGCCAGCCGAGGGTTCTGGAAACCCGGAGTGTCAACGATCAGCAGAGAACACAGAGAGTGCTGACTAGACTTCAGGGCCCTGAGGGACACAGATACATCAGCAGGCTTTAGTGAAGAAGCTTTGACTAATCAAGCAGTCTGCAGCTTCCCAGTGTCAAAATTATATTTATATACCAATTCATTCTTACAATATTTGAAGGTGAATGTTTTAAATATTTTACAAAAAAAATCTAAAGTGCAGCGCTTATCTGGCAAGATGAATTCATGAATGATCTAGCTATTTTATATAAGTCCAAATTGAATATGAATATTGTAGTACTAGAATTTGACAGCTAACCTGTTAATAAGGGAGATGACAAGTGTGAAAAGCTCAGAGTAAAGTCCTGATGCCATGGCCTCCAAACACTCCAGAGCTGTGACTTTAGGGCCTGAGAGACAGATGAGATGCACGTTTTATGTTTTTTTCATGAGACTCAGTTTTTAAACAGCAGCTGAAAACAAGCACAATGTGGTCTGCATCTAAGAAAAAATGATCATATCAAGAATGGGAACCCTTTTAGCAATAATTGAACATAAATGGAAATTCCAACGTTTGCAGTATTTTTACCTAAGCCATCACCATGGCTAGCCTCATCTGGTGGTCCTCTGAATGAGGTAGAATGCTGCAGTCCTTTGGCCTGATGCTTAAAAATAGATGAAGATAGCTCCTCCAAGGTGCAGCCCAACAGGTAGGCCGCTTTCTGAGCCCATTCATGACGAGCAAACTGCCGACGTCCCACTACAAGTAAAGCATGAATGAGTTCAAATTCTAAAACAAAGAGCTAGAAGAAGAAAGGCAACGAAGATAACATGTACAGTAAAAATGAAGAGCAAGTGTAAGTATACAATTACTGTAGATCAAAACTACTATTTCTACCGTCTGTTGCAAATTTAGGCAAGATTTCATTTCTGTGACATTCCAGTATCCAAATCCAGTACAACTATCAGCTCTGCTGAGGTTCAGTATAGCTGACAAGACCTCAGACTATAACTGTTAAAATAAAATTCAATTTCAACGATGGTCCTGGCCTTCTACCTGGTAAACACTTTGCTTGGCACCTCTATTTAACCAAAAGAGATGTTTTCTGCCTTTGACAGGAGTTGTCCCAGATGTGAAAAAACAATGCTGAAAAGTGCAAAAACTGTCAGTTGAAATGAAACGACAACTGAGCTTGAGATTCTGCAGTAATGGAACATTTAGCGCTTCTCTAACAGAGTAACGCAGTCATATCAGCATCTATGATTTAGAGGACTTCCCTAAAAGGAAATGAATGTTGACTTGATTCTTATACTTGAGTGGGATATCTCTTATATCAAGATTTAACTGCATAATGATAATTCATCTCCTGAAAATGGCAGAGTGAATGAGAAATTTTCCAGACCCCAACTACTGCCATCAACAAAGGCAACTTTTGTGATAGACTCACTAGAAGGACTAAAAAGTATCTATTCTCTTAATGAAAGATGTCATGAGGTGTACAGTACAGTCTAGTACTGATTTACTGTATAATATCACTTTACCCCATCCAAAACACAACAGCAGACTCCTGAAGAATACATTATTATAATACCACAACTATACTGTATTATATGCTGTCAACGGCATAGACAAAGAGAGAAAGGCAGCATTTGTTTGTGCAATGTGTAATGCTGAATTAATGCTGAACACTGGTGGCTCTAAAAGTCAACTGGTGAATATCTTGCAGTTGACGTAATGTAAATTATTTTTACTAAAATACTTAAAGTCAGTACAGAATAGTTTCATGTTGACACTTTGCAGCACATACACTGACAGTAAAAATTAGAGACACTTAAATATTTTAATATCAATAAATGAACTCAATGTTTTAAAAATCTTTAAAATATTTAAGTAGGATCCAGTTATGATCCCACCTTAAACACCAAGAGTCCTCTGCTGTGTGGGTTTTAGCACATCATGTTTGTGTTCTGTTCCCACGACTCCAAACATACATATGGAAATCTCTACTGTGAGAACTGAAAAGCTGTGTGAGGCTGGTGTGTTCTTAGATATGTGATGGAGATGACAGCTAATCATGTTTAATCCTAACTCTCAATCTGTTTTTGCACAATTATCTGCAAGAGGAGAGCATCTCCACTTGGTCGGAACCTCAATCAAAGCCAGTGTGTTAGAATAAACCAAAGAATCATGACAACACCAGCGACATACAGCCAATCAAAGCGACACAGAACCAGAGAACCCAACAGGGTCCAGGTTAATCTGGGAAATACAAGGTCTGCGGTAGAGAGCTAAAACACAAACAAGAGATTTGAAAATGTACAAGTTTTACTTTGTTTGTTTCAGAATTGTAGTAGTGTGACAGAAGTCGAATGAGGTGACAGGGGAGGTATCAGAGAGGGCGGTTTAAAGAAACAGTGAAGTTCTGATTTTCATCTTAGAGAAAAGGAAAAGACGATGCAAGGAGATGGGAGAGCCGTAATGAAGAAAACACAAAAAACACAAGAGAGAAAGAGGAGGAGCAGAAACAATAAAAATGCTAATGGCTTAAGGGCTGAAGAGAATGATAAAGGCATACAGACAGAAAACAAACAGGAGAGGCTCTGACATAAGGTTTTTTAGGTTAAAAAAAAGGGTCAACAAGTTGTGTGTTGTTTTTTTCCCATTACCTTCATCTCCATCTGTTTTTGATATGGCGCAGCATGCAAACATGCAAGTAAAAAGAGGGGGGGGGGGGTGTTACAGATAATAGTTTAAGGATTCATCACATCATCACAGGCATAGGAAAACATGAACATTAGCATTCAACAACACTGACAACACATCATTATGTTTTGGAACAGCTGGCTGAGAAATGTGACTGATAGCACCCCAAACCCCTGTTTTACACCAGTGGAGAGGAAATGATACTCAGGACTAAAAGAAAACGGTCCAAGCATAAAGAATGTCCTTCAAGTAAAGTCACTGTCAGTGCAGACTATTGACGTTAAAAATTATTCAAGTCACAAAAGATTTTCTATACTATGACTGATGTCACTTTGAAGTAAGTGTGCATTTCAGCAAAAACATGTAAAAAAATGACTTTTACTGTCCCCAGTTTTATGTTGGAGCATCCATCGCCACCTGACATTGAACCCATACGACCCAAAAAACAGAAGGAAAGACTTCATACAGCCACCACATTGAGATTGCTGCAATGAGGAGAAAAATCAATAAATACGTGCAAGTGTAATCACTTCCAGTTATGGAGACACAATTTTGCAAATAAATGAAAGTTGGCACTTAAATTGGTAGTGATTGTAAAGTAGTATCATCCAAATATAAAATAAATGTATTCTGTTGCGCTCCATCTTATTTTCTGTGCAGGTATGCCTTCTTTTTCAGACGGCACAATTTTAAAGTTAAGGGACCTTCTACTTATATACAGTAAAACCTCAAATATATGACTAGTGATTAAACTAAAACTCAACTTCAAAAACTGTTTGGATGTCATACATAAAAACAGAACACAATGTAGGATTTGATCAACATACCTAGACTTCTAAAAGTTCTAGGGGAATTAACTGTGGACTGCTGAAACATTTTGGAAAAAGCCACATTAAACGGCATCTAATGGAAAAAATCTGCATTCCCTTTTGCCTCTGTGGTCAGCATGCCTCTGACTGAGAGCAGTACATTCATATGTCAAACATGACACCTAGTGGCTGGTGGTAGAAAGTAAATTTGACTTAAAAACAATTTTTTTCCAACTTCTGCAAGAAGAATTCACATTTGATGCCTTACAGTTGATTGTAATTTGAACAGAGACATGCTGGCATTAAGTAATCAGGTCAGGGAAATGAATGCAGTGCAGTGCAGAGAAGCTGGGAAAATCAATAAATCAGTTGTTGGGAAACTTGCATATAAGTATAAAACCAAATGCAGGATATGCACATCTTTATTTCAAGTCGTCCTTACAATCTAAAACAACTAAAATTACATACGTAGGAGGATCATGTTAAAGGGACAAGTCAAATGGCATATAGATTTTAGACTGCCCATTTGGTACAAATTCATTTTAGACTTTTTGCCAGTTTGTTGTTAACATATTGTCATCCATGGCTTCTTTCTTCCATATACCTTTTCCCTATTAAGCAGGATGACATTGCAAGTTTCAGGTCTTACTTTATTTGGAGTGGATCAGTGCTCACTCTAGTGGCAGCAGGGTAAGTGGGATATTTCAACCAAATTTCTCCCAAGCAAAACTTTCCAGTTCACTTTACACAAGTTCTGGGTCTACCCTGCTGTCTCCTACCAGTTCGGTGTGCCCAACAAACCTTCAAAGGTTGGTGGCCAATAGGCTTACTAAGAAGATGCCCAAACTGCCTCAACTAGTGACTTTCGGCACAGACCAGTGGGCATAGCTTGAGTTCATCAGGACCTTTGACTGAGAGGTGAGGAAGACCATGATGTGATCCATGCAAACTTCCCACTTTCCAGTCTTTCTAAAGCACTTGGAGTTCCAAAGGAAATTCCAAATGAAACCCAACTATGAGAAGTAAAACAAATGTAAAGGGAAATATGCATTTTATTCAGCAGTACGGACACGATGACACTTCAGTTTTTTGTTGTTGTTTGTTTGTTTGTTGTGCAAAACAGGCCGTAATTTTGTTGTGACCATGTAACTAATCATGGCGATGTAAGGAGTCGCGCGTAAAACGATGGATTTTACGCATTATCAGTTTCTTTTGAAAATGATTATACAAGAAATTAAACACTGCATTTTAATAATCCAGACTAAAATGTGAAATAGAATGAAATTCTTTGTGGATTATCTAAGACAGAACAAAGCTCAAGCTGCTTGTGGAACGCATATGCACACTTTCACACTTTCATTGCTGATTTAGTGTGGGATCCCCTTACCGAACTCTCTCCCGTGAAAATGGAGCAGTGAAAACGGTATTTAACACTTTATGTATTTACACACTTTTTTTATTTACACACAAACAAACACAGACGTTTCTACAGACCATTAACTTCTTTTGAAAAGTCGACTGTTTACTCTTACTGTAAATTTTATTCTTTATTCTGACTGAGAATAAAGTTTTTGCGTATATAGGAAGATCAGCACAGACTGGCTTTTTTTTTTTCATTAAGGGTTTCGACAAAACCTAAAACCTCAGTCAGAGATGGCCATGTGGTTAACTTCTTCTGCATCTGCTTCTGCTCACATAAAAGGGGGCATTTAATGCATCATGTCATTCTTTTTCTGCAGAAATAATCCTTATGAATGGCAGCTACCAGGACAGGCTGCAGAAAATCATAAATGTTGGGATTTACCTCAAAGAACAGTAAAAAGGTGTTTTTACACTTCCAGTTTATTGTTTTCTCGCTGAGTTTTGTCACAGATCTTTGTTAAATTTGTCTCACAGGAGATGATGACGCCTCTCATATGCACGTGTCTTTCATGCTTGTAACGGGAGCCGCACAAGCCAGAACATTAATAAAGGGTTTAATTAAATAAATCTTATAAAGGGCTACAGTTGTCTTACTTTACAGGAATAAATATGAAAGAATTTGGGCATCAACACAACCTCAGACGCCGTCTCTGTTCAGATTTATAATTGTTTTGCGTTACAAAACAGAAATGTGGGTGTTTTGTTATGATTCCACTGAACATGCGTTATCATATATATGACAACATATATATACACCAGGGGTGCCCAATCCCAGTCCTCGAGAGCTACCGTCCTGCAGCTTTTAGATGCATCCTTGTTCCCACACACCCGAATCAAATGAATGGCTTGTTATCAGGCCTTTGCCAAACATGATGGCATGCTGAAGAGGTAATCAAACCATTTGATTCAGCTGTGTTGGAGTAGGGATGCATCTAAAAGCTGCAGGACGGTAGCTCTCGAGGACCGGGATTGGGCAGCCCTGATATACACAAAGAGAAACCGTCACCTATAGCTTACATCAGCACCATGGACATAGCCAGTGTTGGGAAGGTTACTTTTAAAGTGTATTCCACTACAGATTACAGATTACATGCCCCAAAATGTATTTTGTAACGTATTCCGTTACGTTACTCAATGAGAGTAACGTATTCTGAATACTTTGGATTACTTAATATATTATCATGCTTTTTACAACTACATGAATGTGCTATTGCCGTGTGATTTATTACTATTACTGAAGGTCACTCATCACACCAACACCAACTACATTTTTAAATCTTAATATAAATGAGTAACAGTAGGTGGACATTAGGTAAGGCTGCACTTTTTGCAGCGATCTCGTATAGAAAACTATTCAGCGCGTATATAAAACAGGTCCACGGCTCCGAACCGTAGTAAAGGGACCTCTGGCTGATACGTCGGGTTCGTGTCGGGCTCACAGCTGAAAAATAGCTTTACTTTGTTGCCTGGGTCAACTTTGCTAGCCAGAGACAGAGAGAGGCGTTGAAAGGCTGCTTCAATGGAGCTTATTGTTTCAGAGGAAAACAGGAACACAGTGTACAGTCGAGTCTTAATATCTTACTTACAACTGGGCTACACTGCCCATGAGGCTACATTCTTTAGGGCTATACCTGTATTGCCTTCATATTAAATAATTTTTTGAACAATAATTCATTTAAATATTTCGTCACGTCATTTTGCGGGACGCAAGTAGAGGTGACATGGGCTTGAGACCCAGGCATTAGAGCCTCTTAATGCGTGTTTTGTTTGGGTTTCCACCAGCGTGGATTTACCAAAAATAGAGAGGGGACAGCCTAACATATGAAACAGGAAAAGACCGCCGTGTAATCCCTTTATTTCAACAAAGTAACTGTATTCTGAACACCACCTTTTTAAATGGTAATTGTAACAGAATGCAGTTACTCATATTTTGTATTTTAAATACGTAACGGCGGTACATGTATTCCATTACTCCCCAACACTGCCAGTGGCTCTGCTACAATCTTTCTCCAGATGTCTAAGCTCCTAACTTTAAGATACAGCCGAGCCTCCCTACAGAGGAAATTCCTTTTAGCTGCTTGTATTCACAACCTTATTTTACTGGTCAGTACCCAGAAGTTATGAGGGTGGTCAGATCTTTGACGATGACAATCCGGTCCATGTGTTTGTGTGTGTGTGTGCATGGCTGGGTCTGGGGCTTGCTGGGGCTTGGCCCCTGTGAGATATGGTCTTGGAGGAAAGAGGTTCACCCTCCCTAGTGCTCCTTGCTGGATGCTGCTGCCCCTCCCTGGGCATACTTGTTGGTTCCAGGGCATGTGGTTCGCTGTTCTGACATGGTTGTCGACCCACTCCCTTGGTGGTCTGGGATGGCTTACACGTCTTCCGTGTTGGGGGGGTCTCTGCCGGCCAGTTCTTGGGCACCTGGAGCCCATTTTCCCCTACCCTCATTTTCAAGTTCATTTTGTGACAAAGACACTTAAACACTTACACTCACACTGGACACTCTCTCTCACACTCACACACTGCACAACCCCTACAAGAAGAATATATCTGTGCATTTCTTTATTTTTTGGGTTCTAGTTGCTGTATGGTTGTTTTTCTGACAGATGTGGCAGTTGGTGATACACTGTAGATTTCTATTTGTACGCTATCCTTTTATTACATCTTCTCCTATTCCCCTATAATCACACCATCTCCCTAGTCAAGATCTGATGTACTTAAAATCAACGAGGAAGGGAGTTCCTACCTTTAGTCGCGCCCGCTGCCCCCAAGTGGTAAATGGCACCGAGGATAAGCCAGAGGGCTTTCTGCTCTTCACTGGAGATGCCCAGCACCTTCATGGCTGCCTGCAGCTTGGTGAACTGCTGCAAGGATCGCTGCTTGTCTTCAGGCTGAAGCAGATCAAATCAAACTTTACTGAACCCTGCAGGGAGTCTGGAATTTTACAATAAACAGTTGCTTTCATCCACACATTTTATTAACATCTACCATCTACTGTGATTACCTTAGTCTGTGGCAGGATCCCAAAAGCACTGTTCTCAGCCAGGTGGTTAAAGTGCAGCTCCGTCCTGGAGGAGAGGAAAGACACTAGAAACATAAGCTCCTCAGTGCCAGACAAATGTTTAAGCTTGATGTGAGTAGTTGTATTTTTGTTATATCAGAAGAATATCCATATTATGTGACAATGATTTTCTTTTAAGACAGCTTTCTAATTTAATTGCTGACTTAGCAAAGATATTTAGTGTAAAACCCCAATTCTAAAAAAGTTGAGAAGATTTGTTAAATGTAATTAAAAACAGAACGCAATGACTTGCAAATCACAGGATCAATGTTCACTACAGTTCCTTCCAAGTACTACTTTTGATAGATACTGACGGCTGTCAACCAGGAACACCTCACAAGAACTGCAGTCGTCTAGTGACAACAATTTACTCAAATCCTTAAGCTTGCCCATTTTTAGACTTCAAGCACAGAATGTCCACTTGCTACCTAAAAAAGTAACGAAATCAGCGTTTGGTCGATTTTTTTCTTTGTTGTAACAAAGAAAAAAAGCTATAAATATTACACCACTGGAAAGTCTGTTTATTTCCCCTTAAGCATTGCCACATTTGTAAGAAAAATGCATTTGTGGATCGAGTATATGGGTTACCCTCGTGAAAAACCTGCCAAATCTTCTCTACCAATGCTGCTGCCTGATTGGCACCTGATTACCATAAAATGTTAAATTGCTAATATGTTTTGTTTCTTCAGACACTGTATCTAGGTTTTGGTCCCAGTGGGAGGCCCTAACACACTGCAAAGCATTAGAAAGTTTAATCAACAGCATGCATTGTTTGTGTTTTGACTAAATATTTCAAGGAAATACATCACATCCTCTTGTATTCTGGTTATTGTGGGTGGACCACAAGGGATTTTCTGGGTTTTAAGTGGGCCACGGGATTGTTGACTTTGGGAATGGGTGGCCTATAGAATTAAGAGCCTGTACATTCATGCTGTAAGGTATATACAGGTTTTAAAGTAACATATGCTCCCATGATACAATGACTGAAAAAATCAGTGATACTGATTGTTGACAATTTCATTTCAATGCAACTGCGCTGCCATACAGCAGTGAAACAGTGAATATTATGCCACTGTCCAGAAATTTCCAGACATGCCTATCCATAGCAAACAGAGAATAGGTGACGAAAACTTGTCAAGAAAACAAACATCAAGAAATAATATGACAAACACTGTGAAAAACCTATTGTAACTCTACAATTCTTCCAAATCAAATCATTTTTTTATTTTTAAAAAACAAAAGAAAATCTCTACGTTACTAAACAGTACAAAAAAGGGCTCAACGAGTCACCTGAGACTGCTGTCGGCTCCAGCCATCATGTAGTAAAAAACGTTGAAGGTGGATTCCCCCTCAGGTCGTCTGCTCACCCTCAGTTTCTCCAACAACATTGTCTAAGAAGTAAAGAGAGTTTTGTAAAAAGGGTACAGTACAAGCTAATCAGCTGTGTGCGCGCACTTGTGTTTGTTACCTGGATGGAGGCAGAGGCCACCTGCCCAGCTTGGTCGAAGTCCAAGGAAACAACATGAGAGAAGTGGCTGGCATTTGTGTTTATGTTGGTAGAGCTGTTCCCAAAGGCCTCCAGTATGGTGTAGACTGCCTGCCACTTCTCAGCTGTGTCACCAAAACGATAAGATGTCCCATCATTTGATGATTCATTGCAAACTAGCAATCAATGTTTCACAAAGAACCCATAATTCTGTTCTACCTGTTAATAATTCTCATTGTCCAAATCTTATTATACTTTTATAAACAAAGACCTGATGAAAATTGTGTGGACTGCTACACTGACACTGACAATACTGACATTTCAGTGTATAACTGTTATACGTGTTATATATGTCCTCAAACCAGGCCCTGACTCAAACCGCAGCCTGTCTGTCTTACACATCCTTGTTGGTGTAAAAAACCTCTGGCTCACACTGTCAGTTTCTTCTTTTTCATTTTTGATTTATGTTAGACAGTAACAGGATTTGAGCCTACTTGTGTTCAGTTAATTATTTCTATTTAGTAATTGAAGAAAAACCACTTAAAAATTATCTGATTTTATCATCTGTAATACTTAATTTCAAAAGTTGTAGAGAATAAGGATTGTGCAAAACAAAAGACTGAAACCAGTACAGCTGTGATGTTCTGGCTTGGACAGTGTAAGCTATCCTGTGCTCAAATTCAAACCTGAGCATTTATTCTTAAAGAACAAAATCATGATGTGATAAGTTCTCTTTTTTAAGTTTAACTGAAAAAAGAGAACTTATCAGATGATGATTTTGTTTATTAATTATTATGAATTATTATTTAATTATTTCTAACTAGGTTGAGAATCCTGAGAAACCATGTAAAATTCCAATATAAGATATTTGAGGTGTGTAGTCCACCTACCCCTGTCTTTTGTGGACAAACTCACCAGAGAAGATTTTTCCTGTGCTGCCAGCAATGCAGACCAGGTACTGGACAAGATGCTGACAGTTGGTGGTTTTGCCGCTACCAGACCTGCCCAGCAGCACAATAGACTGATCCTGTCGGGTGGTGAGCAGGTTGCGGTAGGCCGATTGGGCCACAGAGTAAATATGAGGAGCTGAATCCTCACGCCGGCAGCCTTTAAACATGTTCATCACCTTGTGAGCAGGAACAGAACATGAGCTTAAAACATGTACAAGCACAAAAATAAAGAGAGACTAATGAAGAGTTAGCTGTAGCATAAAGTATCTCCAAACCCTCGAAGTGATCATTACACTGCTACACTAAACTAAACAGCTACACTTTCTTTCACAAACAACCGGCATTAATGCACTATATATAAATGCAATCCATTAATTTGGCTGGCCTTGCTCATTAGTCTTGAGCTTACCTTCTCCGAGTACATGGAGGGCATGCTGAGAGGGTTGATGACCACCATGTTGGGTCCAGCATAGGTATGGATGAGGTTCCCTCCATAGCGTTGCCTCAGGCAGTGCATTACACTGGATTCATTCAAATAGAGTAGTGAAGCTAGGTCTTCTGATCTGTCGTATGATGGAGGGTTGGCCTACACATAGAGAGAGCAATCATAAAATGACAGAAGAGCTGTACTCATTCATTGATTAATCACTTCCTATCCTATTTTATTACACAGTCATTTTAAAATCAAATTTACCAAATGTGATAGTTTCGTATTCTTATATTGGAGAGTTTAGTGAATAAACTATTTAGTCAGTTACATCTGGTCTCAAGCACCTGCCGTAAGTTGCTCATGAAATGTCTAAACAATCAGTATGAACTGGCAGATGTTCGATTTCCTTCCTTTCTCAAAGTATACTTATAAAAATAATGCAGAATCAACTAAATAACTGTCTTTTTTTCTTCAGGGCACTGATGTTTAGATCCTTGCTCTCAGAATTATGGTAATAACAAAGCTACTGTGCTCCACTGAAATTATTTGTATAGATTTTAGAAGTACTATAAGTGCTGTGAGCAAGAAAGTAACTTTAGACAGCCAGTAGTGTGCGTCTGCCAAACTTCCCAACAGTCCCATCTGACCTTACCTACACCTATTCCAGCATTCCCGTGAGCTGGTAGTATCCCCTGTGGCCGTCTGTGACAAACTGATTCTCTGCCTCTGAGTCTCTCGTACACACTGAGTGGACCTCCTTCATCATGTACATAGGCTGCTAATGATAGCTAGCTTCAAGCTAGCTTTTTTTGCTTTATTGGACTTAAAAAAAACTTTATGCTATATAAATAATAATTTCTATAACAATGTTTTACTTGGAATATGAATCGTTTATTAAATTCAGTTCAATTTCATTTATACAGTGCTAAGTCACAACAACAAACGTGCTTGAATGTCCGAATTTAATGTGTCAGCAACAAAAAAAATGTTTTAGCCATCAGTTTACCACAGGCTTACATAATTAATATGCACATTGTTGTTCTGTGATACAGTGTGATTCGATATGAAAGTTTTGTACTGTGGATCCTTCAATGCGATCATAACAATCTAATCTAATAATCTACTTTAATTTATGGGTATTATTGTTTATAATATCCCAGAAGTGAAAGTGACAAACTTAGACCTTTACATGCATTGCAGTAAATGTATATCTGAAAGTGCTATAATTAAGTTTAACTACAATACAAATCCTGCACTGTTATCTTCTTTAGTGCCATAAGCCAAGGCAAAGTAGCCCCCTGAACTCTACTCCCACAGAGGTCAATTATCTTCCTAATAGTTTTACATCTTCACTGCGTACGATTCTTGAGATTGTAGCTCCTCTGACAAAGAAAGCCTCAAATCAGAAGTAATTGACTCCCTAGTAAAAGTCTAAAAGGAAAAGGTGTCCTACTAATTTAAAAAACAGTTTGTTGTTCTTTTTGAAAGAAAAAAGCCGTCTATAAAGCTAGAACATCAGTCCTCTTCATACATTAAGGTTAATTATGAAGTTCCACAGAATTCTGTGCTAGGACCATTTCTCTTTACATTATACTTGCCTCCCTGGGGTAGGCATTTTTGACCAGGATGTGTCCTTCAATGCACATAAAAACAGAACAAAACATGGAGGACTGATTTCTTCCATTTGTACAATATCTCTAAAATTAGAAACAACCTGTCTCAGAGAGATACTGAAAACCTAGTTCATCGTCCTCCCCTCACCCCAACCGGTCGCAGGAGATGGTCGCCCCTCCCTGAGCCTGGTTCCGCCGCAGTTTTCTTCCTATAAAAGGGAGTTTTTCCTTCCCACTGTTGCAAAAGCGCTTGATCATAGAGGCTCATCTGATTGTTGGGGTTTTCTCTGTATTATTGTAGCGTCTTTACCTTAACATATAAAGCACCTTGAGGCAAATGTTGTGATTTGGCACTATATAAATAAAGCTGGATTGAATTAAATTGAATTGAATTGAATTTAGATGAACAGGTCACCTACTCACCTTTTCAATGTCGTCTTCATCCACATCCAGTACAGTCCCGTCATGCTCCATTTTGATTCTTACCTTGCCCTCTGGCAGAGAGCCAGTTTCTGTCTTTATCACGGTGGCTGGCCAGAGATAAGACAGTAAACACTTTAGTTTTTGCCTGACTGAAGTGCTCAACTCTACTGATCTCTATAGCTTAAGTGGATAATTAAAGAGAATAACAAAAGGAAAAATGCATGACTTTGCCATCTAAAACTCTAAAGAGCAGTTTACCCAGAAGGCCACCAGTTTTCCCCTCTGCGGATCGGTTTTGTTTTTTATGTACATGTGTGGATTTTTTTATTTCCATTTTAAAGACTTTATCATCCAATAAAATTATTTTTTATAGCTAATTAACACATTTAATCCCAATGAAAAACACTTCACAGCTAGGAGGTTCTAAAAATTTAATTTCAAATATGCAAATATGTGCAGTGTTAAGTGTTAAGCTGTAGAATCCATATGCTGAGCTGCTGCAAACAGATGGGGATAACAACAACACACTTTTCTCAGTGCAAACTGAAAATCATTGCTCAGTGAAGCCAACAAAACCACATCATCACAACTACTCCACAGGCACTTTCTATGACTTCAACATAATGTTGCAAAAGCAGGCTGACAGCCCCAAAACATCTACAGCAGGGGTGTCGAACTCATTTTACATCGTGGAGCACCTGCGGCCCACTTTGACCTTAACTCATCATTCTGTCAGTGTAAAGAAATTACATATTTAACAGTTTTTCTACATGATAAAGAAAAAAACTGCTGTTACAAAGAAGAAGAAAAAAATCGGTCAGCAAAACTCAGACACTGAGCCATGGCTCTGTACTACATGTACACATTTGTCCATTTCTGCCATTCAAAGACACTGTATGTAGTTTATTCTATGTAGAAATTAAAACTGAACTGTAAATTTAGTCAATTTAGCAATTTTTTCAGTGTTTTTTATTCAGTGTAAAAGCCTTAATTTCATGGATTTGATACTACTAGGGAGGATATGAGGTTTAAAGCCTGGACACCGTTTGTCATGTGCAATGGAAAGATGTGATAAATTCTGCACTCAGCTTTGCAGTCTCCAGTATCATTGAAATGCAGCCAGATGCTGTTTATTTTATGTTTTTGCTCCTTTTCTTCACTTTTTCTCTCTGTGTACCCGGCCTGTCCCACTACACTTGCTGTCTTCAGAACATCTTCCCCTCTTCCTTCTTTCACATAATGGTATGATCCCAGTTTGTCTTTGCATGTGATTGACTGCTTGATGTGCCAATCAAAGTAAAGTCGCGCCCCTGCCTGCATGGATTCCCAGCACAGCTGAAGATTCAGCTCCCACATACCAACATGTCATTATTAACTTACACATGAAATTATCTTGTGGGCCGAATATATTTTTATTGCAGGCTAGATGTGGCCCGTGGGCCACATGTTTGACACCCCTGATCACGAGCATTCAAACCTAGGGTAAATCTCAATCACCCCAGATGTCGTGCAGTCAGAGAGTTATTTAACTCCCTCAGTGACAGCCACAAGGATGTGAGACATGTCTCCTTTTTTTCCAGCTTCTTCTTCTACTATAGGATGCATTTAAAGGGGATTCAGGAGCTACTTAAGTAATTTAAGTACTCTTTTCACCATCCAATGACACAGTTAGGTCCATAAATATTTGGACAGAGACAACTTTTTCTAATTTTGGATAAGATTGCATAAAAATGTGAGGAACTAGAGCATTTTTAACACAATCCCTTCATTTCAGGGGCTCTAAAGTAACCGGACAAATTAAGTTAATGCAAAATAACAGATTTTTTGCAGTAAAATATTACGTACACACCTCGTGTATTTTAAACGGTAGATATATTAAAAAACACATTTAGTAGCAAGTAACTATGTAGCTTTTTATAAAAGACCAATAAAAGGCAATGGAATGGGGAAAAATGTGATGCCACCGTAAGAACATTTTTAAACAGATAAGCCAGACTCACCCAGGGAAAAGCCATCCTTGTGGACAAGCCATACTTTATCTGATTCATACCAGGCCTGCTCTGCTGCAATCTGTTCCTCAGTCTTCACCTAAAAAGGACAAAGGTCAGAATTAGAGGACAGCAGGGGAAATTATACCTGTGGACCACTCACAGCAACATGTGTTTTTTTTAAAACCATTTGAATTTCCAGTGAGATATCAGGACATGCTGAAAGGATGCAATTAAAGCTTTTCAAAATAATGATCATGTGATTGACTGATCAGGCTTGTATGAAGAATGTGTGAGGACATTTGCGTTTGTCAAACGACAGTTCAGTAGCAACCCCTTGGTTCAGCAGCTTGGTTCAGCCCAATATTCATAACAACATGAAAGAACACAAACACATAAGGAACCAAGAATGAAAGTGTAAAACAAAGTAAACTGGAAACAAGCACAAAAAAAACTAGGGTGTTCCTATTGATGACTTCTTACATTTTACTACATTTTAGCAGGAAACATGAATAGGGAACACTGCACTTTGCAAGCATGAGCACAATGCAGCACAACACAAGGGATGAGCTGGTGATTTTGTCACACTCAGGCATAGTGCAGTCCACACCTGGGATTGCTTAGCTGCAGCATGAGATGCTTGGAGAGCAATAAGATCCTCTTCTACTGATCCCTGGTGATTTTGCCAGCATGAGAAGGTTAAAGGTCACAGTTATACATAAGCAATATATGTTAAAACAGACAGACATATACAAACAAATACACAGATAAAATGAAATACATCTGCACAGCTGTAGACAACGTCACTGCAACAGATGATCTACATATCCAGAATATATGAGAAAGAGAAATTAAGTCTACTCACTATGCATGATCATCGATTAAAAGTACTGCTTGAATGTTACATTTTGAAAGTTTCACAGGTCACTAAAACATGATGATTATATGACAGCAAAAAAGCTTCATTCATAAAGACTCTAAAGACATTGCCTTTGATAGAAAGCACTTCCATAGAAAGAGCGAAGAAAAAAGTGCTTGTGTGAATGGGTGGGAATAGGTGAATGATGAAAGTAGTGTAAAGTGCTTTGAGTGCTCAGAGTAAAAAAAACACTATCAAGACCCGATCCATTTACCATTTACCAATTTCATAATCCTACATCACCTTGTTCTCAAGTTACCACATTCACAGAAAACTTACTCTGACCTTTAGGTTGAGATCACTGAGATTCAACCTAGTCCACGATTTTTTGTTGATGCACCTATGGTATCAATCTGAAAATCCTAGATGAATTCCTTCTTGAGTTATTGCATTCGCAAGATGTTTAGAAAACTTGACCGATATTCAAACTCATCTGAGATTTTTAGTAGACGCACCCACGGTGTACGTCATGACAATACAATGGAAAGAAAACTGAAAATGCCAACAGTGAAGTTCAGACTTTTTATACCGATAAAGAACAAGGAAATTTGATTAGTATATGAAGGCTGAGCAATAGGTTATAGGCTACTGGCCATTTCAGCCAGCCATCAATGAGAAAGCCCTGGAGTTCTGTGCTCATGACAAATTAGTGAACACAGTTGTCAAACAATCTGTGATAAAGGCTGCAAGTGACAGCCTCCTCACTGCTTCATGTATTTAAATTAACTTTTTTATCTGCTTAAAACCAAAAAATCCCAAATAGATGATTAGAACTTATTTTCATAACAAGCTCTTTCATGATTGCATTTACTAAAAAACACGTGCCAAGTAGGAACTCCCTGCCCAACCCCCCATGTGCCACACATACCACTCTGTGAATATGTTGACAATTCTGGAAATTATTAATTTAATAACCCAACCTAATATCCAACTATCTGCAGGTTATTATATCACTTTAGCATCCCTGTATAATGTCTTAGCTGCTCTCATCTTTAGAAAGACTTTATCCAGTTTAGCATGCCTGAATTGAAAGACTAACACTATATTGTAAGAAAAAGTCCTTGAAAGCCTGAAATACAACTCTGATTCCAAAAATGTTGGGATGCTGTACAATAGCAGAAGTACAGCAGAACACAGAAAACACATCACATGTTGAAACTGAGAAAATCTACTCTTTTAAGGAAAGAATTGAGGTCATTTTGAACTTGATGGCAATAGGTCAAAAAAAATGTAGGACAGGGTAAAGGTTACCACTGTTTACAGGCTCATTCTACAAGTGTCTGCAAACTGAGGAGACCAGTTATTGGATTTTTGTATTTAGTACCACTTACTTTTCCAGCCTATTGTTCTTCAAAATGGCCTTATTTGTTTCTTAACATGTTATAATTTGGGTTTGCCTTCTTTTTAATATAAGAGACAGAGAGGGAGGGAGGGAGAGGGGGAGGGAGGGAGAGGGGGGGGGGGGGCTCTAACAAACCAAACATATTAAGCGTATGTGGAGTTTCGTGGAGTTTAACTGTCAACAGCACCTTGAAGCAACTGTTGTTGTGATTTGGCACTACAGAAATAAAATTCAATTCAATTTAGTTCAATACAATACTTCAAATGGGGGAAATTGAGGAAATTAAAAGGATTTTGGGCCTTACATTCTCACATGTCAAATGAGTACAAATTCCAGATAGGAGCCCCAGGAAAATGCAGGTCTGTGGTGCATGGAGGGTGCCCTGAGCCTGCGCCTCAACAGAAGATGAAACACTGACTGCTGGCTCCAGCTAGCCACAGAGACAACCAGCAAAAGCAGTGTGAGTAAAGCATGGAGAGAAAGACAGGGAATGAGGGGAAAAACACAGAAGACACAGTCAACATGGAAATTCAGATGAAAATATTGCAGAACATGGCTGTATTCCAATTCAGGGTCTGCAGCCTTAAAGGCCGATTACGTCACAGCGACGCGACGAAGGCTGTCCCAATTCGAGGCTGCTCGAAATGCGGCCCTCAAATGCATCCTTCATTTCCCTGAATTTTAAGGATGTGGCAGTGTAGACTTCGTGGCCCAACATATCCCAGAATGCATAGCGCGGCGGTGGGTGTGGATAATTTTGCCGAAAAAAAACGGCGGATGAGGGGCGCCCGAAGAGTAACTTAGTAAACTAAGTGATGAATATTATGTCACTTATTTATGTGGAAATGCTTAATAACGAAGAACTTTAAAACATTAATGTTGGCCACATGTCAGCAAAGTTATGTGACATTAATGACCTTTGTACTAACTTGGTTTTAAAGCCTTTACTTTAAAATATACGCCGTTCAAAAGCTGAGCTTCATCTTATAGAGAATGATCAAAGCTCATGTAGAAACAAACAAACAAATGAACAAATGATTTTCTCCTTCGTTTCTGTCAAACAAAGCTGTATGAAACGTTTCCAGCTGTTAGTATCATGGTTGCTAGGCAACCTGGGCAGCGCGACGGAGGCTAGACCGTCCCATTTCACAAGCCTCGCACTTCTGGCCTTAGTGGCCTTTGAGTACGCGGCCCTTGAGGATCGTTGAGGCTGCGTACTTTAAGGCTGCAGACCCTGAATCGGGATACAGCCCATGAAAGCAACAAGAAGTGCATGAACATTTGAGTGGCAATGGAAAAGGGAAAATGGCTTTACAATGAGTAACCAGGGCATTGAAATAATTCCCCTATCTAATGAGAATGTAGTCAGTTCAAACAAATCCAGTTATTGGCTAATTGTGAGAAGTTGGTTATATCACTCATGAAAGGGAATGTGCTACAAAACTAACTAGCGAGATATAATTTGAGCTTCATTCCACAGGAATGTCTTAAGCAGAACTCTCTCTGAAACCTGTCAAGTCTATAACAAAATCCATAAGTGGGTGTTTCTGTAGTGTCCACAGCTCTAGCAGCTCCAGCAAAATGACTGAATTTAAAGGTAACAGAATTTGACATTGCATCAGAAGTCAAGAAGAAATGTGGGCCCAATTCATGTTCATCAGGGCAGCCCAATTTTCAAGGTTTCCAGTAATTTTTCCAGTTTTGAAATATAATTTTAATAAAGTACAAGTTTTTATTGTCAGGGTAATGAGCAACACAGTAGTAAGGGAAACTGCTGCAAAAAAATTGTGAGAGTGGAATGATGATCAATGTGATACATAGTGATGTATGCTAACAGCTTTGGTGAAGTTATTATTAAATTAGAAAGGAAGGGGAACATTTCTGAGATGTTAAAAAAGACTACAGCACAAGAAAAAACATAGGCAGCAGAACTAGTTAGCTAAAGCTCAGAATTTGCTGATTTTTTCCCTAACCCTGCTGACAGACTTAGTTTCCATTGCTTAACTTAACCTGACCTTGGGCAACACAGATCGTTATAGCTGCAAGAGTGCATTTGAAGGTTAATTAACATTTCATCAAAGATCCAGAATTCAATATGAACAGGAGAGATAAAAAAAAACTTCCATGTCGTCATGGTACTGTCTCGCTGTCTTTAGGGGAATATTTTCTATTAGCTGGCACATAAGTGGAGTTTACCAAAGTGACTGAGTGGGCAGCGTGTAGAGATGCAAGACTATGTAACATTAGACCAGTTAATCACAAAAACCGTTGCATCATAGTTTTTGGTGATAAATAAAAACAACAGAATTTAACTGAATAAATTTAGCAGCTTTCAGAGAGCAACTTTTAAAAACAGCTGTTTTTAAACTAAGCTGTTTCATGACTTTAAATCAACCATTTCAGCTATTCTGAATTCCCTTTGGTGAAACAGTTTTTCTCTTTAACACCACTGACTCAATGACGCCACTGGCAAAGCAGTAAATAATCAATAATCAATGGGAGCACCACTTGAAGCATCTCTATGCTTTTTTTGGAGCCTTTTACCGGTTGCACAGCCAGGCTGAAGACATGATTGTGTCCGTTTTTACTGCCATTTCAATGAGATATCAGTGCAGAGGATCACAGGGCTTCAGATTATAAAGAAGGAGATGTTGCAACAGCTTGAGACTTTCTCAAGAAAACTGCTGTACTCCTGTGCCAGCACACTATATGTAGAGGTAACACCTGGCATTTACGAAATTATGACAGCAATAATGGGCTCTTTACTTTTTTGCTACAGGGTTAACCGTCCCTTACTTTACATGGCATGACAGTTTTCACCACCAGTTGCTTCATACCAGCACACTGTGTTATTGCCACATGCACAAATGTGAAGTGTAAAAAGAGCCACCCCTTTACATCGGTGCTTTAACTTGCCTAATCGTCAAACTGCTTTAGACCATGGGGGAAGTGAATAATGCTGGTTAGATTTTTTTGATGTGTACATGTACAAACACGGAAAATTCAAAGGCAATATTATCTGTTTATTTACAGGGACGCCAAAGATCTTCATCAGGCGTCGCTGAGCTTCCTCAGTTGGACTGACCGGTGTCTCCTACAGGTCAAAGAAGCAAAATACTGAATCTGAGCACACTGACACAGATGAAGCAAAGCCCACAATTAGACACAAACAGAAATGTCCTCAGCAGATGGATATGTATTTTAGTTATGTTTAGTCATCTTTAAAAAATAAACAAGTACATCAGATATCCTCACTGACTTCACTGATGTTTCCCACAGGAGACTCAAACACATACACTGATTGTATCAACAGCATAAGCAGTTTGGGTTACCATGGAATCCATTTCAAAAACACCATGTTTAGTAGTTCTGTAGTAGCACTAAATAGGTAGTAGTAGTAGTAGTAGTAATATATAAATAGCTTCTGCTTCAAACAGTACGTATGCTTTAACCTCCTAGGACTGAGCATCCACATATGTGGACATCACATTTTGGGTTGTCTAGACCACAATAAAACATGCTGCTCCATAAGGGCCTGATATCTCTTATGAGGACATTATAATGCCACTGTTCTATCGAAATTTAAAACAAATGTCATATGTGGATATCCAGCCCTTGTAGAGCAAAATCAGGTAAAAAGAAAATTCTTTGTTTTTACATTCATGAGGTCCCAATCATCCCAAATAGCAAAGAGAAATTAAAATTGCGTGCCATGAAAGAGTTCGGGTCTTAGGAGGTTAAAAAAAACTGTGTAAAAACAGTGTAACAGAGTAACACAGTGTATTACTAAAATTGGCAGTACACAATCTGGAACAAACCAAACAGAATGTGTGAAAAACATTAAGAGCGCTAAAGAGAAAATAAAGAGAGAAACAGGCAGCAGACCAGTTACTGTACTTGTCTGTGGCAGCATCGTTTTCAAATATAATGTTTTTTCTTTCAGTTGCTTTTCCACAAAGCAGCATTGCAGTAACTGGCTCTACCTGGTGATGCTAGTCATGTCAGGCTACCAAAGTTCCCTGTTTGAAAAATGTCTTTGCTGACACTCCATCTTTGCAAACAAGGCTTATTATCAAATACATTCTGCTATGTGATAAGTCAAAGGTTAAAAACTGAAACTGTCCTCCTTGTTCATTGGCAGACTTAATCACAAAAATGATTCAAGAGTCATAAACCTCAAAACTAGCAAGTGTATTTAAAACCATAGGAGTTTACATAGCCGCTAAAGAACATACAATTCTGACAGCGACCCCAGCATTCTGTAGAAATGACTAAGCTGAGGACGTACACAAGTGCTTGTGGTTTAATGATTACAAGAATGAGAAATACTGGTTGGATATAATATTAATATTTCCAAATATAACACCACCTGTTGCTAAGCTGATTAGAAGCAGAGTATTCATAAAAGAGCCCTTGTTGAATGCCCAAAAACAAAAGGTACAAAGAAAATGACCAACAGTTTTTCAATATAAAATGTCAAACAACTGAACAACTGTACATTAAGTCAATTGACTAATTACTAATTAGTGACTTCATCATCTACTGGCAATTAGCTCAAGAGACTCCAAGTAAACCATTTCCTTGTGTGTTGCAATTTCTTCTGCTCATTTGTCTTCCACAGCTTTTTAAAAGTGGCTGAGTCTAGCCACTGTGAACACTAACATTACACATAAATGTGGTGCAAACACTATTAGCAAACACTACAGTGCTCTTTCACTCCAAACATGCATTTTAAATGCTATGCACCCAACATCAACAACACCATGTCCCAAAAGTCAAGACGACATGCCAAGTGTTAGACTGTACCTCTTTTTGACTAACAGTAGGTTTCTGGATAGAAACAATTCCTATAGGTGTAGAAGACAGTGGACCAACACTGGGCTGGGGAGGATTAGGGTTCACAGAAGTTGATGCAGTGAAACATGATTGGGGTTCAGTTATAAAGTCAGGAGCTGGGATGAAGCCCATAACTGGTGTGAAAGATAAAGGCCGGGAATGAGGAGATTTGGAAGAATCTGAAGCTGAGCCCACAGTTGCTTTGTTAGCAGGGTTAACAGAAACCAGAGATGTTGTTTCCTTTGTAACTGGAGAAGAGCTGCTGGATTTGTGTTTAACATCCTGCAACTCTGGCTTGGCTTTAACTTCATTCTGCTCCTTTGTTGTCTCCTTCAAGTCAAGTTTTTCATCCATCTTCTCACTTATCTTGTCTAACTCCATTTTTTCTGGTCGGTTATCCTGAAATATTCTTGGAAAGCGCTCCCTTGTTCTGCCTCTGACCATAAGGCTTGTTAAGCCTCTTGAAATATCATCTTTGTCTTCTGTTTTAATGACATCATGTTTAAAAGAGAATCCTGGCATCACTTGGGATTGGGACACTGAGGTTGCTGCTGCTGCTACTTTGATTGTGTCAGTAGCAGGCTTGCCTACTTCTGTAACTTTGTCAGATTTCTTTGCTGGTACATTGATCTCATCTTCTGAGGGTAAAACCTTCCTGACAACACGACGAACAACCTTTACTACTTTCTTACGTGTGTAACCCTGGTCATCAGTGGTAGCCATTTGGTTGGTGCTGGTGCCTGGAAGGCTGATGATACCATTGGCAGTACCATTGACTGTGCTTTTTCCCACCATGCCATTTTGTTCTTGCTCACTCAAATCTGGTTCAAGCTTCCGAGGAATTTGTGGAGGTTCAGGACTTTTAAGTTGTGCCGCCGTCGTTGATGGTGGCTCAGGACTTTTGAAGTGCCCTTGGACTTTTATGGGTGTCCTGACTTTTGGTGGGGAAGGACTCCTGATCCTGGCAACTGACTCTGCAGTAGGACTTTTTGCCCTCAATAAACCCCTGCCAGGATCTAGAGCTGGTACTGACTTGGCTCGGCCGGGAATCCCATCACTGTCTGACTACTCACAGAGAAAAGAAAGCAATTACATGAAAGTAGACAAGTAATGAAAATCCAAGCATTATGTCTTATTCTGTCAAAGAATAAAAATGTTGGTGTGTTACAATGAATTTTATGAAGACTAGTAACAGAGAAGAACAGATATTCCTTTAACCCTACAACGTAATGCAATATTGGAGCTTCCAATGACTTTGAATTTAGCCTAGAAATCCAATGCCTAAAAGCAGGCTACCAACCAGAATATCCCTAAGAAATCAAAGGCTTTCAGGACAGGTTCAGCAAACATCACAGCTCCATTTTGCTAGACATGGTACTAATTTTAACACTAAAAGGGTGTATAAGAACATGTAATCATCCCAAAGCAATCAGTTTGACAGTTTCTGTTCTATATAAAATAAGTTAGCATGCTCCATCAGGTCCAAAGGTCTATCTATAATGACATATTTGCTCTCCTGGAACAAGGTGTCTAGCCGTCCACCTCAAGGTTTTGGGAAAGTGCTAGTTGCCAACTATCAGTTAAAGCATGTTAGCATGATTAATCCAGTACACTACAGGGATTTACCTACTATAGAATGAGTTAAAACCAAAACTTTGTGGCATTAAGTTCAAATATATGCTGATGCGAATGAGTATTCCAGTTATTATATATTAGGAAAGAGATAAGCCTAGATGTTTAGATAATGATAATAATTAAGAACGTTTTCAACTGCAATGTGTGTCAAGCATCATGAAAGAGAAGAGACCCTGGTGGTGTAACCACCAGCTGTTGAAACTACCACTTGGGGCATGGAACATCACTTGTCTGTTAGGAAAGAAGCCTGAGTGGTTGGGTTTGAGAGATACTAGGTAGATATAGTCGAGTTTGTCTCAACACACAGTGTGGGCTCTTGAACCAGTCTTCTGGAGACCGGGGGTGGCTGGAAAGCACTTAGATGTAGAAAAAAAGTGTGTCTATGAAGTGCTTTGAGTGAAGTGCTTTGAGTTTTTTACTCTACTTCTAGTGAAGTAGAGTAAAAAAAGCACTATATGAGAACCAGTCCATTTACCATTTGCCGTGGTGAGGCTGAGAACAGGGGTCAGGATACTTGTATCTCACAATTTGGTGCATGTAAGTTAGGGTTTGTTCCTGGTCAAGACTTTCTCATCCTGGTGGATGATGGGGAAAGTGTCCTGACTATCACTGCCCTTTATGTGCCAAACAAGTTTTCAAAATACCCAGCCTTCTTGGAGTCACAGGGTGGGGTATTAGAAAGTGTAGCACGCAGGTGCATGTCTTGGACACTGGACAGACCTGGCATACCGAGTACCCATTACTGAGGCAGATGCATAGACCTGCAGCTACAAGGTGGTTGGTGCCTGTCAAAGTAGTAATCCCTGAACTACATGCTGGACACCAAGGTGGCGTCAAGCTGAAGCAGGAGTCTTGTCGAATTTGGTTTTCCTGTAGTACTCGGGAAGCAGCTGACAGGTACCAGCAGTCCATGTGGAGTGTGGCTCTTGCAGTGGCTGATATAAAATTCAGGTGTGGGAGAAGTTTCATGAGGAACAATGCATTTTGCACGGAATTCTGGGCGAGCTCTTATCCTCTTGAGGATATTCAAGACAGATGTTTTCTGGAGATGTTTATGGACAGAATTTGTAGGCATAGCCAAGTGGTGGTATGCCTCCAATTTAGTGGTCTCAGGTTCTTCCATCTTTCTGCAGATGATATGATTTTCTGTCGACTTCATCAGGGGTGGCCTGATGAAACACTTTTAAGTCTGAGACCATGGTTTTCAAAAGGGCCTCAGACAGTTGTTGACCCAAGTATAGTTGTTTAAGTCTCTTAGGGACATGTTCACAAGCGGGGGGAAGGGGAAACGGATCTGGGCCACAATCACAGTGATACAGACAATGAACTGGTCTGTACTGTTGACAGGAAACCAAAGCTGTGTGATTGACCAGTAGATCTACATGAGCTCTACATCCCTACACTCACCTATGGCCACAAGCTTTAGGTAATAACTGAAAGAATGAGAATATGTATACACTCAGAGTAGAGCCATTTTACATCATAAGGAGCCAGCTGAAGAATTTGGGCATCTCACTAGGATGGTTCCTAGGCACCTCTTGAGTGATGTGTTCCAGACATGCCATGTCTGCCACAGTCAGTGGCAGATTAAAGTCAAAGTAGTTATTTATGGAAATGTTTTATATATTTTTTATTAACAATCTGTAGCATTTCTGTGTTTTACACTGTTTTGAACATTCTATACTTTTGAAAAGAACCTTTGCATATTGTTATTACAACTAACTAATGCAACAACAAACTTAGAATTTTTTAATTTTAAATTTTTTAAATGTGTTTATTTCTTTTCTCACTTTTTTATTCACTAATTACATTTTTTACTATCTTTAATTGTAGTTTAAATAATTCAGAAAGCTTTACATTTGCTTTAAAATATATTGCCACAAATATTTCAGGAATAGTGCTGTAAACAAAACATTTTGTTTTTAAATATATTCACAGATTTAACCTAAAAAACAACAAAGAAATAGATGATGGCAATATATACAGGGTATTTGCCATAAAATGTGTCATCCTAACACTTCAAACTGAAATATAAATACAAAGACCATGCTAAAACACTGGATTTTAAATGTCAAGAACCAAGACGATTCTAAAATGAGACCCAGAAACTCTAATTAATGCCATTGTTTACTTACACTTTTGTTTGCTGGCTTGTTCTCTTCTTTAATCTAAATGTGTTGAACATTAAACCAAATCAAAATCTTATAGCTTAGATCCATTGCACACCATGCAAATTACAAAACATGCACATATTCTGAGAGCCATCTTTTGCATGAAAATATTTTTATTTCAGTGCAATAAAATGTGCAATAATGTGCTGTAAAATTGTCTTACTATTTCAAGAGCTGAAACCAATGCACTTACTGCATTTAAATTGCGTTAGTTAAGTATAACATAAAATAAGTGAAAGCCATTAAAATCTGAAGTGGGGTGCCACACCAAATGCCACACAAATCCAAACATAGAGATGTTAGTACACTATAGTAGTCCCATCACACTAATGTGCTCTACTAAACATCTAAACAAGACTTCCCTTTTGTTCCCAGAACGAAAAACGAGATGAAAATGCCATGTTGGCTGATCTGCTGTCATGGGCTGTGATGGGTGAGATGAAAGCAGGTGAAGGAGGTGGAGGAAAGCTAGGAAAGGAAGATTACACACAGTTAAGATAAACTTCTTCACACACCAGGACGCACTGAATTTTCAGCGCAAGTAACGTTTTGTTTTTAATGACAAAGCACTGAGAAAAACAAAGAATGAGCACAAAATTAGAGCTCATTCTAAGAAATGTAAACATTTTTTGTAAAAACAACTATACAAAATCAAAAGTAACTCATCCTACACAAGTGGGCTAATCTTGATAAAGTTTCCATTAGCATTGCCAAGGACATTGTGAGTGCCAACATCTATGTGGTGTATACAAATGTTTTATGTAAATCTCACAATCATATACATTTGACAGTTAAATTGAGCACTGTGTCATAATATAAAATATCAAATTAGAATGGTGTATCACAATGTCACGTATCATAGTACATAATACTACTATAATGATTGTAACATACACAGCAGGTAAAAATAAGTACTGACTATGTCCCTAATCAAGGTGCTATTGATATGAAATTATCACCAGATGTTGGTAACGACCCATCCAATCTATTATTACATAGTACTGAACACATCAAGAAAGAGAGGTGCAAAAAGGCATTAAAATTCATCGGTAATTAAGAAGCAATCCTGCCATTTTGTGCAAATTAATATCAGCTGGTTCAGTCTCAACTGATAGCCTATGAAAACCAAGGTGCCGCACAAGAAACTTTTCATGATTGTAAAACCAATGAGCTCTCGCAAGACCTTCACAACCTTATTGTTTCCAAGCATACTATTGGCACTGGACGATTCCGGTGAGCACTGTTGGGGCTAAGGTTGGGCAATATGTAAATATTTTCCAACGGACAATCGTCAGTCCAATAACTAACGATAGGCAATATATTCACGCATGCGCAGACTTTTTGATGGGCAGAGCAATGTAATCATCCACGGACTGATTTCCGCGTTTAGAACACAGAAGAAGTCCAAACATGGGCGAACTAATTGTTAAATTGCACACTGGAGGAGAAGGTGCAGATAGAAATGGACTGTTATCTCAGCAAGGGGTCATAGACGGAGAAGATGATCCGCTAGCTTGATGGAAAATGCATAAAAAAACGTTTCCATAAACCATAAACCACCATAAACTGGCCATGGCCAGGTGCTCCCCACAAGATTTCAGACAGAGGAGTGAAAGGAATTATTAGAAGGGTTGTCAAAGGGCCAAAAATCACTTGTGGTCAGATTCCATTGCTCAAGAAAAAGCATGTTGAAACACGTTTAAAATCTGCTAAACAACATTTCATCAAGCCTGTGAAATACTGGGAGAATATGGTTTGGTCAGATGAGACCAAAACTGAATATTTGGATGCCATAATGCAACCATGATTGGAGGTCAAAAAAAATTGCAGATGACACCAAAAACACTATACCAACAGTGACGTTTGGAGGTGAGAACATCACAGCTTCATTCATCCTGTATAATTTATAGACAATGTGAATCAATGTGAATGTAAAAATCTATCGTAACATTATTTTCATAATGTATACACCATATCTGCCACAAGCTGATAAGTTTCATTCTTTCCAAGAAAACTTAAATGTAAAGTAAGTTAACTGGGACCACTTACTGACCAACATCTGAGCAGAAAAATGTGGACTACAACAAGAACCAAGGAAGTTGTATTGTGTAATGCTACTTTCAGTTGGCAAAGCCCCCCCTTGTCCATCTCTAGCCATAAATAGTGGCAATGGCTGTAGAGCCTCAAGGCCCCATTCTTGTCATATATATTCAGCAGAAGAAACCACTTGTTGTAAAAAAAAAAGTTAGTATAAATAATTCTACCTGTAAATGAAGCAGTCCCACAACTTCTGTATTATAGTAGTCCTCAAACAACAGACCAAATCAGTAACTGGGTAAAGAGGAATAGATCTGAAAGACCAGCCAGAGACATACAAAGTAGAGAGTGAAACGGCAGGGCTGACAAGAGAGGGAGCACTATGATAGGCTGGCTATTCCTGTTGGTGTACAGACAAGAGTTGACGGGGACAGCTGTTGTGATAGGAGGCTGCTAAAAGGTAAAAATAGGAGCCCCGGCCTTCCAGTCTTCTAGACATCTCTGCCATTCACTCCCCCAACCATTGCCACAGTTCAATCACTTGCCCCACTGCTCAACCACACATGCTGCTCTAGTTGGTGTCATCTCAGCTGCCTGCCTGCCTGCGTGCGTGTCTAACTGCCTATTATGAAGGTCATCCCAGGCACCTAGCCGAGATTTTATTTGTTGCTTATTGTGGCTTTATATATGAGGCTGATGCTGCAGGTGTTACATTCACTTCAGCACATGGAGTAATTACAACAATAAAGGCTCTAATTATTTTTCATCAATGCTGCCACATGCAACTTCTCTCGTCTCTCCCAGCCAGCCCCAGGACAGAGACTGCACCCCGAAACCATACACCTTCATTGGTACCAGATAAAGAACCTTCTTAACTGAGAAGCCCAGAGAAGAGGGAAACTAATCAGTTTGGTCAGTTTTCAGGATAAAAACCTAGCCTGCATAAAAGTGAGTTATTTCCTGTGGATGGAGGAGCACCAGTGTATGACTATTCTACTCTCCCCTTTAAAATAGCACAAAATCAATTTACATATCTAGGTATAAAAGTTACAAGGAAGCATAACTGTCTCTTCAAAGTGAACTTCCTTTATTTATTAAATAATACAGAACAGCACCTGGCACAATGGTCCCCTCTCTCTACTTCTCTGGTGGGAAGAATTAACTCAATCAAAATGTACTCCCTTAATTTTTCTCTTTCTTCCAATAAATACCGATTTTTATCCCCAAATCTTTCTTTGATTCTTTAGATTCAACTATATCATTTTATATATGGAGAGCCAAATGCCCCTGATTGACTAAAGCCCATCTTCAAAAGCCCAGGAGTAATGGAGGCCTGGCAATGCCTAATTTCCAGTATTACTATTGGGCAGCAAATACACACTGCATTATATCTTGGGTCTATTTCCAAAGCAAAGATAACTGCCCATTAGACTCAACCGTTCTGGTAAAAAGTCAAATTAGCTTGTATTTATCTGAATGTGGACCCCTCTTGTGATAAATGTGAGAGTGAGGATGCTTCTCTTATCCATATGTTCTGGACATGTCCTAAACTCAAAACATTCTGGATGGACATATTTCAACCTTTGTCTCTAATTCTTGAATATCATATGGATCCTAATCCATTAGTTTCTATTTTTGGCACTAATGGGGAGGCTGATGCACGGCTGACCTTGTCAGTGTCTTTTGCTTCCCATCCATCCATCCATCCATCCATCCATTCGCGTCCGCTTATCCTGTTCAGGGTCGCGGGGGGCGCTGGAGCCTATCCCAGCTGTCATAGGGCGAGAGGCGGGGTACACCCTGGACAGGTCGCCAGTCTGTCGCAGGGCCAACACACAGAGACAGACAACCATTCACACTCACATTCACTCGCACATTCACACCTATGGGCAATTTGGATTAACCAATTAACCTATCCCCACTAAGTGCATGTCTTTGGACAGTGGGAGGAAGCCGGAGTACCCGGAGAGAACCCACGCAAACACTTTTGCTTCCCTTGTAGCAAAATGTGCAGTCCTACTAAGATGGACGGGTGCTGCTTTGCCCACCCGTGCTCAATGGCTGAGGCGCCTTATGTGTTACTTAAGCCTTGAAAAGATCTGTTATTCGATTAGTAACACCACCGGAAAGTTTTACAAGGTGTGGAGGCAATTCCTGAAATATTTTTCCAGCCTTCGGCTGCTCAGCAAATCCTCTGTTTTTCCTGGGTTTAACCTGGATCGAGGGACAGAGCTATTGTGTGGGATGGGTAGGGGGTAAACAACAATTAAAAGATATGTGATTTAGAGCAGGGCGATATGACCAAAAATATTTATCACGATGTACATTTGAAAATTTGCGATAACGACATAACTGACGATATAATTGACACTAGACAAAATACTTTACAACTCTACAACTGTATTAGTGCAAAAAAAAAAACAACCCATCAATGTATTTTGCACTTACACAAGCAGCTTTTTAAGTGCATTAAAGTTATATAAAAATTTGCAGTGCAAATGCAAATCCTTGCTGACAGTTTAACCAAAAGGCATTTCCAGTGGAAATTGGTCGACATATCCTCAGGATAACCATGTATAATATCCACAAAACTTAAAAAGAGGTTATACACACACACAGTACTGTAATATTATGTTGAAGCACAGTACGTATCACTCCGCGAGGCTCCTGCCTATGATAGCCGTAATGCTCCAACAATCCATCAAGTGGTGCGGCTTCGTAGCTTAGCAAAGTCGTCAGTAAACACAACCAGAATTCATACATAAGGCACACGGGATTATAAGGGGTACTGTCGATTTTAAGAAAAATCAAAGGATTGATTTTAAGTGCGCCGTATTTTCCAAAAAACACAGTAATAACAACAGCCCGCTAGCATGCTCTACCAAAAATAGTGCTTTGTTGTGTATCTGACAGACGAAAGCTAAACCAGTTCCACACCACTGAAGCTGCAGCATTTTTACAAACCAGTTCTGGTTCATCCGTTTCATTCAACGATCCGCTTTCGCTCTTCTCATTCTGCGTCGCCGCTATGTGCGTATGTAAACAAAGGCACCGCACATGCGCGTTTTACCCATATTCTATCGCGATATGTCATTTTCCTATCGTTGCCCAACATTACACCGGTATTACCGTGAACGGTATGATATAGCCCAGCCCTAATGTGATTGTGTTATTAAGCTGTATTTTATTATGTCAGCTTAAGCAATCATCGTGAAGCCTACCTACTCACATATTGTATAAGAATTTTTTGTGTATCTCTTTTTGTTTGTCGTTTTAATCTGATAAAAATATCTTTGAGAACAAAAAAAATGTAATGGTATGGTCCTGATCAGACAAGTGATTCTGTCTTGGGGGGGATTGGGAAACACAGCAAACCTTCTGGCCACAGCACATATTGATGAGCCATTCTTATGCTACCACTAGTGACACTGACCTTAACCAAATGCAAAACCAGTGAAAAAGAGGTCAGAAAAGATGAGTAGGGGAAAATTGTCAGTGGCTTCTACCTGTAAAACCATTCCTGTTTGGGGGTCGTATCACTGTTGCCTCTCTAGTGCACCTGTTTCGACACCAAAGCAGCTGGAACTGATTAATAACTCCCTCTGCAACCTAACTGACTTGATGGTATACTCTGATTAAAAACTGTTGCAAGTTTTTGAGAAATGTATTTAAGTCTGTATGTATACTTTTGAGCCTGTTCAGATTACAGAAAATCCTAAATAACATCAACTTGTGCACCCAGTTTTTGTTTTTTCAAGTAATTCAATTTTTAAACATAACTGTATATGTACACACAGAGACACAGAATTTGCACAGCACTACAGTACGAGCTTGCTATAATGACGAAAAGATACATCGATCTCGTAGAGCAATAGTCAGGAGAGATCTTAGCCATTATTTCTTAGAACTTCCGAGTTGAGTTACAATGCCATGTCCCATATAATGGTAACGTACCTTCATATTTAGTCGAGTCATCTTGTTCCAATTCAATTCCTCATTTAGAACTACAGCTTTCTAATCCTACAAAACCTTCTATTTTATCAACTCTCTCTGCTTTTGAATTTTGCACAAGACATGTTACATGTGCTGTGTAGAGTGCTGGGGTTCCTAGTTGCACTGTCTTCCTTTGTGAAACCAGTGTATACAGCAAAGAGGAAGACGTGTAAAGCAGCTAAAGGAAGGCATCACAATGAAAGCAGAAGCAGAGTGGAACATGTTACAGGAAATGAATGCTTCTCTCATGCTGCTAGCAAAGGAAAGAAAGAAAACCCAGGTCTTATCTCTGTTCTGTCTAAACTGTGGTACTTTTTCAGTTGAATGAGTCCCAGTTAAGTAAAGTCTGTTCTCTTATGAGTAATGTTATTTACCGTTGTTGTTAACAGGAGTTTTTTATACTAATCTGTGGCTTTTCCTAAAAAGGACCCACGTTTTATATATGTATATATATATTTTTAAGTGATTGTTTTAGTAAGTAAACCCTGTCTGAGGCATGTTTTAATTACCACAGTCATATGTTTTAGAGATGCGCTGATTGGCTAGCCAGGGACCAGAAAATCCCCATTGCCAATGTCCTCAGCCCTTATTGGTGGCCAACTGGTCAGGCTCAGGTTGGTCTGTTTAATGTGCAACACACGATGCAGGCAAAAAGTAATGCACACACTCACAGCCACACAAAAATATTGCATTGAAGCTCCTCACTCTGAGTGAAGATGCAAAGTTCACCAGGGGTTCAGGGGTCAGCCATGAAAACATTGGTAACAACAAACCTAATCAAACAGTTTAATCCCCTTCACCCAGCTGAACATGGACATTATAAAGATTAAAGAAAGGCAAATTGTCCAAAGCTAAAGCTATCCAAAGCTTAGAACCAGCCACAAGACAGCAGCCCCTCGATGTGCAAAAGATCAAATCAGGAGAATTATGGAAACAACTCAAAAATGAAAATGCAGAAGGCATCAACAGGTACTTAAATTTTGCTTTCCTACTCATTGAGCAATCACAGTACTTTTTACTGCAGCTGTCAGGTTTATAAGCCCGTGAAGGTTCCCCGTTATCCAGATCATGTTAATCTAAGGAGCTTGGAAAGAAAAGCGACTGGACTTCTTTAAGTTTCTTGAATATGTTACACCTCTCATCCGAGACACTTCTTCAGTTCTAAGCGCAACTGGCGGAGAGTCCAAGATATTTAAGCCCTATTGGGAGCAGCCAGTAGGCAGC